CTCCCTGGGAGTGACCTCACACACTGCTCCATCTTAGACAAGTACACACACCAACATATGGGACACCTGTCCTGTCTCCCTGGGAATGACCTCACACACTGCTCCATCTTAGACAAGTACACACACCAACATATGGGACACCTGTCCTGTCTCCCTGGGAGTGACCTCACACACTGCTCCATCTTAGACAAGTACACACACCAGTACATGGGACACCTGTCCTGTCTCCCTGGGAGTGACCTCACACACTGCTCCATCTTAGACAAGTACACACACCAGTACATGGGACACCTGTCCTGTCTCCCTGGGAGTGACCTCACACACTGCTCCATCTTAGACAAGTACACACACCAGCACATGGGACACCTGTCCTGTCTCCCTGGGGGTGACCTCACACAGTGCTCCATCTTGGACAAGTACACACACCAGTACATGGGACACCTGTCCTGTCTCCCTGGGAGTGACCTCACACACTGCTCCATCTTAGACAAGTACACACACCAGTACATGGGACACCTGTCCTGTCTCCCTGGGAGTGACCTCACACACTGCTCCATCTTAGACAAGTACACACACCAGCACATGGGACACCTGTCCTGTCTCCTGGGAGTGACCTCACACACTGCTCCATCTTAGACAAGTACACACACCAGTACATGGGACACCTGTCCTGTCTCCCTGGGAGTGACCTCACACACTGCTCCATCTTAGACAAGTACACACACCAGTACATGGGACACCTGTCCTGTCTCCCTGGGAGTGACCTCACACACTGCTCCATCTTAGACAAGTACACACACCAGCACATGGGACACCTGTCCTGTCTCCCTGGGAGTGACCTCACACACTGCTCCATCTTAGACAAGTACACACACCAGCATATGGGACACCTGTCCTGTCTCCCTGGGAATGACCTCACACACTGCTCCATCTTAGACAAGTACACACACCAACATATGGGACACCTGTCCTGTCTCCCTGGGAATGACCTCACACACTGCTCCATCTTAGACAAGTACACACACCAGTACATGGGACACCTGTCCTGTCTCCCTGGGAGTGACCTCACACACTGCTCCATCTTAGACAAGTACACACACCAGTACATGGGACACCTGTCCTGTCTCCCTGGGAGTGACCTCACACACTGCTCCATCTTAGACAAGTACACACACCAGCATATGGGACACCTGTCCTGTCTCCCTGGGAGTGACCTCACACACTGCTCCATCTTAGACAAGTACACACACCAGTACATGGGACACCTGTCCTGTCTCCCTGGGAGTAACCTCACACACTGCTCCATCTTAGACAAGTACACACACCAACATATGGGACACCTGTCCTGTCTCCCTGGGAATGACCTCACACACTGCTCCTTCTTAGACAAGTACACACACCAACATATGGGACACCTGTCCTGTCTCCCTGGGAGTGACCTCACACACTGCTCCATCTTAGACAAGTACACACACCAGTACATGGGACACCTGTCCTGTCTCCCCTGGGAGTGACCTCTCACACACTGCTCCATCTTAGACAAGTACACACACCAGCATATGGGACACCTGTCCTGTCTCCCTGGGAGTGACCTCACACACTGCTCCATCTTAGACAAGTACACACACCAACATATGGGACACCTGTCCTGTCTCCCTGGGAGTGACCTCACACACTGCTCCATCTTAGACAAGTACACACACCAGTATATGGGACACCTGTCCTGTCTCCTGGGAGTGACCTCACACACTGCTCCATCTTAGACAAGTACACACACCAGTACATGGGACACCTGTCCTGTCTCCCTGGGAGTGACCTCACACACTGCTCCATCTTAGACAAGTACACACACCAGCACATGGGACACCTGTCCTGTCTCCCTGGGAGTGACCTCACACACTGCTCCATCTTAGACAAGTACACACACCAGCACATGGGACACCTGTCCTGTCTCCCTGGGAGTGACCTCACACACTGCTCCATCTTAGACAAGTACACACACCAGTACATGGGACACCTGTCCTGTCTCCCTGGGAGTGACTCCTCACACACTGCTCCATCTTAGACAAGTACACACACCAGTACATGGGACACCTGTCCTGTCTCCCCTGGGAGTGACCTCACACACTGCTCCATCTTAGACAAGTACACACACCAGCACATGGGACACCTGTCCTGTCTCCCTGGGAGTGACCTCACACACTGCTCCATCTTAGACAAGTACACACACCAGTACATGGGACACCTGTCCTGTCTCCCTGGGAGTGACCTCACACACTGCTCCATCTTAGACAAGTACACACACCAGCACATGGGACACCTGTCCTGTCTCCCTGGGAGTGACCTCACACACTGCTCCATCTTAGACAAGTACACACACCAGTACATGGGACACCTGTCCTGTCTCCCTGGGAGTGACCTCACACACTGCTCCATCTTAGACAAGTACACACACCAGCATATGGGACACCTGTCCTGTCTCCCTGGGAATGACCTCACACACTGCTCCTTCTTAGACAAGTACACACACCAACATATGGGACACCTGTCCTGTCTCCCTGGGAATGACCTCACACACTGCTCCTTCTTAGACAAGTACACACACCAACATATGGGACACCTGTCCTGTCTCCCTGGGAGTGACCTCACACACTGCTCCATCTTAGACAAGTACACACACCAGTACATGGGACACCTGTCCTGTCTCCCTGGGAGTGACCTCACACACTGCTCCATCTTAGACAAGTACACACACCAGCAGATGGGACACCTGTCCTGTCTCCCTGGGAGTGACCTCACACACTGCTCCATCTTAGACAAGTACACACACCAGTACATGGGACACCTGTCCTGTCTCCCTGGGAGTGACCTAACACACTGCTCCATCTTAGACAAGTACACACACCAGTACATGGGACACCTGTCCTGTCTCCCTGGGAGTGACCTCACACACTGCTCCATCTTAGACAAGTACACACACCAGCATATGGGACACCTGTCCTGTCTCCCTGGGAGTGACCTCACACAGTGCTCCATCTTAGACAAGTACACACACCAGTACATGGGACACCTGTCCTGTCTCCCTGGGAGTGACCTCACACACTGCTCCATCTTAGACAAGTACACACACCAACATATGGGACACCTGTCCTGTCTCCCTGGGAATGACCTCACACACTGCTCCTTCTTAGACAAGTACACACACCAACATATGGGACACCTGTCCTGTCTCCTGGGAGTGACCTCACACACTGCTCCATCTTAGACAAGTACACACACCAGTACATGGGACACCTGTCCTGTCTCCCTGGGAGTGACCTCACACACTGCTCCATCTTAGACAAGTACACACACCAGCATATGGGACACCTGTCCTGTCTCTCCCTGGGAGTGACCTCACACACTGCTCCATCTTAGACAAGTACACACACCAGTACATGGGACACCTGTCCTGTCTCCCTGGGAGTGACTCTAACACACTGCTCCATCTTAGACAAGTACACACACCAGTACATGGGACACCTGTCCTGTCTCCCTGGGAGTGACCTCACACACTGCTCCATCTTAGACAAGTACACACACACCAGTACATGGGAAACCTGTCCTGTCTCCCTGGGAGTGACCTCACACACTGCTCCATCTTAGACAAGTACACACACCAGCATATGGGACACCTGTCCTGTCTCCCTGGGAGTGACCTCACACAGTGCTCTATCTGGGCAAGTACACACACCAGCACATGGGACACCTGTCCCATATCCCTGGGAGTGACCTCACACACTGCTCCATCTTAGACAAGTACACACACCAGTACATGGGACACCTGTCCTGTCTCCCTGGGAGTGACCTCACACACTGCTCCATCTTAGACAAGTACACACACCAGCATATGGGACACCTGTCCTGTCTCCCTGGGAGTGACCTCACACACTGCTCTATCTGGGACAAGTACACACACCAGTACATGGGACACCTGTCCTGTCTCCCTGGGAGTGACCTCACACACTGCTCCATCTTAGACAAAGTACACACACCAGCATATGGGACACCTGTCCTGTCTCCCTGGGAGTGACCTCACACACTGCTCCATCTTAGACAAGTACACACACCAGTACATGGGACACCTGTCCTGTCTCCCTGGGAGTGACCTCACACACTGCTCCATCTTAGACAAGTACACACACCAGCATATGGGACACCTGTCCTGTCTCCCTGGGAGTGACCTCACACACTGCTCAATCTTGGACAAGTACACACACCAGTACATGGGACACCTGTCCTGTCTCCCTGGGAGTGACCTCACACACTGCTCCATCTTAGACAAGTACACACACCAGTACATGGGACACCTGTCCTGTCTCCCTGGGAGTGACCTCACACACTGCTCCATCTTAGACAAGTACACACACCAGCATATGGGACACCTGTCCTGTCTCCCTGGGAGTGACCTCACACACTGCTCAATCTTAGACAAGTACACACACCAGCATATGGGACACCTGTCCTGTCTCCCTGGGAATGACCTCACACACTGCTCCTTCTTAGACAAGTACACACACCAACATATGGGACACCTGTCCTGTCTCCCTGGGAATGACCTCACACACTGCTCCTTCTTAGACAAGTACACACACCAACATATGGGACACCTGTCCTGTCTCCCTGGGAGTGACCTCACACACTGCTCCATCTTAGACAAGTACACACACCAGTACATGGGACACCTGTCCTGTCTCCCTGGGAGTGACCTCACACACTGCTCCATCTTAGACAAGTACACACACCAGCATATGGGACACCTGTCCTGTCTCCCTGGGAGTGACCTCACACACTGCTCTATCTTAGACAAGTACACACACCAGTACATGGGACACCTGTCCCGTCTCCCTGGGAGTGACCTCACACACTGCTCTATCTGTTCCTTGAGCTCATTCCAACCTTGTATACTTGTCACCTCTGTTGTTTGTGATTGTAATGCTGTAGTCGATGTTGTGCTTCAGTTTGTTGCCCCCCAGCTGTGCCCCAGTCCCGAGGTAAAACATAGCATCATTACATGTTGGCATGGGGAACTGCATGCCCTGGTAGCACTGTCTCACTTTGTTACATTGGGATATGCAGCTTATGTACACTGACATCCCAAACTCTTGACTGTATGTAAGCAGACATATGTGACACACTGGCAGTGTGGGAAGGACAGCAGCAGCACAGTACTCCTATATGCAGTGTAATGCATGCTTGATGGATAACGTCATGTCATACTGTATCACAATAACAGACCTGTGCACTCCTATGCTTACACCATAGTTCTTCCTGATTGTGAAACCGTTTGGTTTTGTTTGAACTTAGTATGAATGATGGAAATTACTGAAAGGTTCTAGCAGAAATAATGGTATGGCAAGTTTGGGGGTTAAACAGGTCTGTAGTGATTTATGCTACACTGTATCAAGGAAACTTACAACTATACATCGCCGTACTGTTAAGACTAATATATAATGCATGCTTGATGTGTCACTTAGTGTCGTACTATAGAGAAACACAATTATCTATACAACACAGTACTGTTAAGACTAATATATAATGCATGCTTGATGTGTCACTTAGTGTCATACTATAGAGAAACACAATTATCTATACAACACAGCACTGTTAAGACTAATATATAATGCATGCTTGATGTGTCACTTAGTGAGGTACTATAGAGAAACACAATTATCTATACAACACAACACTGTTAAGACTAATATATAATGCATGCTTGATGTGTCACTTAGTGTCGTACTATAGAGAAACACAATTACTAATATATAATGCATGCTTGATGTGTCACTTAGTGTCGTACTGTAGAGAAACACATATTATCTATACAACACAGTACTGTTAAGACTAATATATAATGCATGCTGGATGTAACACATGGTGGCATACTGAACAGAAACAGTGTTGTACTGTATTAAAGCCCAATATTCTTTACCACACAATACTATAACACATATATAGAATGCATGCTTGATGTATCACTTTGTGTCTTACTATATAGAATCACAATTATCTATTCAACACAGTACTGTTGAGACGTATATATATATCTATAATGCATGCTTGATGTATCATGTAGCATCAAACTATATAGAAACAAAATAATCCAAGTCACACAGTACTGTTAAAGATATTTATAATGAATGCTTGATGTATCTTGTAGTGTTGTACTATATAGAAACACAATAATCTTATATATATAATGCATGCTTGATGTAACACGTAATCACTCTTATCTCATGTAAATTTGATAGTATTCATAAAAAGTGTATCATATTATGTTCAATAGACTATTACTAATAAATAAGTTTTCATAGATGTAATGATCAGTAATAAATATAAAAAGCCTGCTAAAATATGCTGTAGTTTTTCTCTAAGTTAAGAATATAACCACAAGGGAGCCTTATACTTCCACCTTGCTATCTGCTCCTGCCGAACTTTGTGTGTTATGGGGGTTGCCATGCTTGTTCACGTGGGTAGTCCTGTTTAGCTTCTGCGACCTGAAGGTCCCAGGAGAATATGTCATGGCATGGTGCATGTCCATGTATTCACGACCACAGTTAACATTTGTCCTTCACACAGTCATTTAAGGAAAATCACATTTACTTTCTTGTAAAATCATTTCTGAAAGTCTCACATTTAATTCCTTGTTAGTAATTTGATAGGAATTGCATTATGTCTCATTCTTGTAAGGTCAAGTGGAAACAGTGCTTGTAAATGCAGCCATCAGTACTGTGAGATGTCTGCAATGGTTGTGATGAAATCTGGATGTTTGCTGTACAGAATCACACAGATCTGAGAGCTGTCTCTCACCCATTTCCTTGCTCAATGCCCCAGTTTGCTACTGAACAAGACAAACCCCACTCGATTCCTTCCCATTGACTGATGTTCCCGTAGGGAATTATTCAATACAGCCAACGACCTCCTATTTTGTTGCACCAGACTGATGGTAGATCTTCCTTTCTGTTCTGCTCACCTTGCATCAGTGCCACTGTCTTGAATGGTGCTTATTCAGGCTTCTCACCTTAGCAGTCACTTGTACAACTCCCACTCCTCTTGTGTTTCTCTGGCTGTTCTTCACTTAGTCACCAGGTCAACTGCCAATTGTCTTGTTACATCTTCATTGTTCTTAAACACCCCCCACATTCCGGATACATTCCGTCCATGTGTTGCACATTCAGTGGCAATTCTGTATTCTGTATGATACAACTTTATGATGATGTAAGTGATGTTTCTTCAAGAAATTTGAGAATTGATATCATTTCCACGAAATGCTTGCAACAAAGTTCATGAGTTTTGGGCAGAGGTGGCAATATGATGGTGCAAAATCTGGTGAATGGAGAGGATGTTCATTGACTTCAAAGCCACAGTCATGCATTGCAACCAGGACGACAACAGGCTTATTCAGTGGTGCATTATTGTGGTTGGGCAACACGCCTTTAGAGTTTTCCACAGATGTTCTCAAGCAGCTGCCTTAGTAGTTAACATAACTCTGGCCATGGTATGACCTTTATGTAGTCCTGTAGAAATATGCTGCTTGTTTGTGCATGTGGTACAAATGCAGCCTGCATGCAATGAACGTATTGTACTTTAAACATGTAGACTATTCAGGGTGATCTGTACATCTTTCATAGTGGGACTCACTATGCTGTTTATAGGATAGTTTTGAAGTGATCTTGAAAGCAATGGTGTAGACACAAGTGGATCAGGAGTTTCAGAGCCACTCTGGCAGTCTCATTCAGTATGTCTATATTATCAGAGTCAACACTGACTCTTTTTTTTTTGCGTTATTTTAAGATTTTGAACTTGTTTTAAGCATTCTATTCAAATCTCTCAAATTGTACATTTGTCCCCAAGAACCTTTTGTCCTCTGATTTGTTAGACAGAGGAAACTGGACTTACCAGGTATGTACCTCTGTAAGATGACATATTGTGTTCATATCAGTAGGGTTATAGTGTGTGCCATTTTAAAAGTCAGGATTTTGCTGAAAATATTTGAATATCACTGTTGACAGTAACTTTTGTTAAACATCTGTTTTTGTTGATATTCTCAACCCTTCACTACTGATCTAGATAAACTACATGCAGGGAGATTGTTCTATTGTTTTAGAGGTAAACAATGTTGGTCACATCTTTATTCATCAGTTGTATCAGGGAAATATGATGTCATCAAAATAGGAATAAAGATGTCAAGGTTAGGATGACTCTTCATATCTGAGTTTGGGTTATACCATTCAAATAACAAGCACATTCCAATCATTCAGGTTTTGTATCTTCTAATAAAGGTGAGCTTCTCTACCTACATTGCTGTGTTTCCAACCTTAACTTGCAGTATTATGAGTATAGCAGTTACTTCTAGATTATTATTACCGGTATACTTACAGATGTTTGATAATAGTTGACATTTAGCATGCGCACATAAATCAATGGGATTGTGCTGTGTCATTTCAGACTGACCAAAAAGAAAGAATTTGGACTTTCACACTTTGGTAATAAACTGAAAGAGGTCTTCAAAACTTCATCAGGTAAGATATGAAAATTCACAATATACGTATAGCATAGGTAAGGACAATATATCGTAAACATAGACGTTTTGGATGACGATTCCAACTTGGCTTTCATATGACGAATAACTGTTAGTGGAACTGTTATGTGATGACTTACATTGTGCATTGTAAGTTGTTAACTGGTCACGAGGGGTGCATGGGTTGATGTACCCTCGATGTTTGTTTATGTTTCCTGAGCCTCACACGTAAATGTCGCTTTCTGATTGGCTGAGCGTTCTTCTATTATTTTCAATGTAACCCGCTTACAAGCGAGTAACATTTCAGTGCACCCCGCTGTCAATGGCAACTCATTTGGTACTTCGTGGTAGTAGTTCTTTATCTCAAATAACATTGAATCATGTATGATGTATGGAAATTACTGATGTTTTGCGAATGGAGATAACTTTAAATCTGTTTTTCTTGTCAGCAAAATCTAGCGATGGCTACAAAAAGATTTGTATCCGTGCTTCAAAGAATTCAAAATTAACATTAAGGTGTTCGGCAAGATAAATACGTTGTTCAATGGTCCCTCGGGGCACATGGGTTGATGTACCCTCGATGTTTGTTTATGTTCCCCTCGCCCTTTCGTGGAACATAAACAAACATCGAGGGTACATCAACCCATGTCCCCCTCTTGACCAGTGAACAACTTATATAATAGAAGAGCTCAGCCAATCAGAAAGCGACAATTATGTGTGAGGTAAGATAAACTGTTGTGTGATGACTTACTAGAGGCTGTTTCCAGCACAGAAGGGGGGACATTGTACATACTGTTATGTGATGACTTACTAGAGGCTGTTTCCAGCACAGAAGGGGGGACATTGTACATACTGTTATGTGATGACTTACTAGAGGGAACTGTTTCAGCACAGAAGGGGACATTGTACATACTGTTATGTGATGACTTACTAGAGGCTGTTTCCAGCACAGAAGGGGGGACATTGTACATACTGTTATGTGATGACTTACTAGAGGCTGTTTCCAGCACAGAAGGGGACATTGTACATACTGTTATGTGATGACTTACTAGAGGCTGTTTCCAGCACAGAAGGGGGACATTGTACATACTGTTATGTGATGACTTACTAGAGGCTGTTTCCAGCACAGAAGGGGGAACATTGTACATACTGTTATGTGATGATGTTTACTAGAAGGCTGTTTCCAGCACAGAAGGGGGACATTGTACATACATTGTTATGTGATGACTTACTAGAGGCTGTTTCCAGCACAGAAGGGGGACATTGTACATACTGTTATGTGATGACTTACTAGAGGCTGTTTCCAGCACAGAAGGGGGACATTGTACATACTGTTATGTGACTAGACTTCCCACACAGAGGCTGTTTCCAGCACAGAGTTTCCAGCAAGGGGGACATTGTACATACTGTTATGTGATGACTTACTAGAGGCTGTTTCCAGCACAGAAGGGGACATTGTACATACTGTTATGTGATGACTTACTAGAGGCTGTTTCCAGCACAGAAGGGGGGGACATTGTACTGGGGGCTATACTGTTATGTGATGACTTACTAGAGGCTGTTTCCAGCACAGAAGGGGGACATTGTACATACTGTTATGTGATGACTTACTAGAGGCTGTTTCAGCACAGAAGGGGGACATTGTACATACAGACTTACTAGAGGCTGGGAACATTGTACATACTGTTATGTGATGACTTACTAGAGGCTGTTTCCAGCACAGAAGGGGACATTGTACATACTGTTATGTGATGACTTACTAGAGGCTGTTTCCAGCACAGAAGGGGGACATTGTACATACTGTTATGTGATGACTTACTAGAGGCTGTTTCCAGCACAGAAGGGGGACATTGTACATACTGTTATGTGATGACTTACTAGAGGCTGTTTCCAGCACAGACATTGTACATACTGTTATGTGATGACTTACAGGCTGTTTCCAGCACAGAAGGGGAACATTGTACATACTGTTATGTGATGACTTACTAGAGGCTGTTTCCAGCACAGAAGGGGGACATTGTACATACTGTTATGTGATGACTTACTAGAGGCTGTTTCCAGCACAGAAGGGGACATTGTACATACTGTTATGTGATGACTTACTAGAGGCTGTTTCCAGCACAGAAGGGGACATTGTACATACTGTTATGTGATGACTTACTAGAGGCTGTTTCCAGCACAGAAGGGGGAACATTGTACATACTGTTATGTGATGACTTACTAGAGGCTGTTTCCAGCACAGAAGGGGGAAGCACAGAAGGGGGACATTGTACATACTGTTATGTGATGACTTACTAGAGGCTGTTTCCAGCACAGAAGGGGACATTGTACATACTGTTATGTGATGACTTACTAGAGGCTGTTTCCAGCACAGAAGGGGACATTGTACATACTGTTATGTGATGACTTACTAGAGGCTGTTTCCAGCACAGAAGGGGACATTGTACATACTGTTATGTGATGACTTACTAGAGGCTGTTTCCAGCACAGAAGGGGACATTGTACATACTGTTATGTGTGATGACTTACTAGAGGCTGTTTCCAGCACAGAAGGGGACATTGTACATACTGTTATGTGATGACTTACTAGAGACTGTTTCCAGCACAGAAGGGGGACATTGTACATACTGTTATGTGATGACTTACTAGAGGCTGTTTCCAGCACAGAAGGGGGACATTGTACATACTGTTATGTGATGACTTACTAGAGGCTGTTTCCAGCACAGAAGGGGACATTGTACATACTGTTATGTGATGACTTACTAGAGGCTGTTTCCAGCACAGAAGGGGGACATTGTACATACTGTTATGTGATGACTTACTAGAGACTGTTTCCAGCACAGAAGGGGACATTGTACATACTGTTATGTGATGACTTACTAGAGGCTGTTTCCAGCACAGAAGGGGGAACATTGTACATACTGTTATATGTGATGACTTACTAGAGGCTGTTTCCAGCACAGAAGGGGACATTGTACATACTGTTATGTGATGACTTACTAGAGGCTGTTTCCAGCACAGAAGGGGAACATTGTACATACTGTTATGTGATGATGAAGGCTGTTTACTATTGTACAGGCTGTTATGTTGACTTACAGGCTGTTTCCAGCACAGAAGGGGGACATTGTACATACTGTTATGTGATGACTTACTAGAGGCTGTTTCCAGCACAGAAGGGGGAACATTGTACATACTGTTATGTGATGACTTACTAGAGGCTGTTTCCAGCACAGAAGGGGACATTGTACATACTGTTATGTGATGACTTACTAGAGGCTGTTTCCAGCACAGAAGGGGGACATTGTACATACTGTTATGTGATGAATTACTAGAGGCTGTTTCCAGCACAGAAGGGGGGACATTGTACATACAGTTGCCTTCTACTTGCAGAGGACAAAATGGGAAGCATGGACAGCCTTGATGACCTTGACCTCCCACCAGCTATATCTGTAAGTGATACAGACCTGTAAGGCTGAGTATTGGGAGATGCTACCAGAGGTGTAATTGGGGTGGCATGCCAGACTGATCTGGATAATTATGTTCAAGTTAATGAGAAAAATTAAGTTGCTTGACTGATCCTGTAATTCCATCTCTGGACAGTTCATGCAGGTCAGTCTTTAACATGCAGATGTTTCCTTACAGTTGATGGTTCACTGGAGTATAACCTGTTTGCAAAATACTGATAACTTCAAGTTTTGCATACTTAGAGTAAAATGAACACAAACATTTAGAGAAAATGAACATTTCTCATTCATATCTGGGGAACCTTTTCACTGAAATAACATGTATTTGGGCTACATCATATTGTATTAAACTACCCTTGTTCTCTATCTGAATTGTCAAATAGATTCAACACTTTCTGCACCATCTTCACATGGTCTGTGATGTATGACTGTATTTCTCTTGCCTTGAGATATGTACCTGTATGATGGAATGCCTGTAGCTGTATCATGCGCTACACACATGGCCTGTGAGATATTTACCTGTATGATGGAATGCCTGTAGCTGTATCATGCGCTACACACATAGTCTGTGAGATATTTACCTGTATGATGGAATGCCTGTAGCTGTATCATGCGCTACACACATAGTCTGTGAGATATTTACCTGTATGATGGAATGCCTGTAGCTGTATCATGTGCTACACACATAGTCTGTGAGATATTTACCTGTATGACGGAATGTCTGTAGCTGTATCATGCGCTACACACATGGTCTGTGAGATATTTACCTGTATGACGGAATGCCTGTAGCTGTATCATGCGCTACCCAGATGGTGTGTGAGATATGTACCTGTATGATGGAATGCCTGTAGCTGTATCATGCGCTACACACATGGTCTGTGAGATATTTACCTGTATGATGGAATGCCTGTAGCTGTATCATGCGCTACACACATAGTCTGTGAGATATTTACCTGTATGATGGAATGCCTGTAGCTGTATCATGTGCTACACACATGGTCTGTGAGATATTTACCTGTATGATGGAATGCCTGTAGCTGTATCATGCGCTACACACATAGTCTGTGAGATATTTACCTGTATGATGGAATGCCTGTAGCTGTATCATCAGATATTTACCGCTACACACATAGTCTGTGAGATATTTACCTGTATGATGGAATGCCTGTAGCTGGATCATGCGCATACGCTACACATGGTCTGTGAGATATTTACCTGTATGATGGAATGCCTGTAGCTGTATCATGCGCTACACACACACATAGTCTGTGAGATATTTACCTGTATGATGGAATGCCTGTAGCTGTATCATGGCGCTACACACATGGTCTGTGAGATATTTACCTGTATGATGGAATGCCTGTAGCTGTATCATGCGCTACACACATGGTCTGTGAGATATTTACCTGTATGATGGAATGCCTGTAGCTGTATCATCGCTTACACACACATAGTCTGTGAGATATTTACCTGTATGATGGAATGCCTGTAGCTGTATCATGCGCTACACACATAGTCTGTGAGATATTTACCTGTATGATGGAATGCCTGTAGCTGTATCATGCGCTACACACATGGTCTGTGAGATATTTACCTGTATGATGGAATGCCTGTAGCTGTATATTTACCTGTATGATGGCGCTAGCTGTATCACACAGTCATAGTCTGTGAGATATTTACCTGTATGATGGAATGCCTGTAGCTGTATCATCGCTGTATCACACACATGGTCTGTGAGATATTTACCTGTATGATGGAATGCCTGTAGCTGTATGTATCATGCGCTACACTACACATAGTCTGTGAGATATTTACCTGTATGATGGAATGCCTGTAGCTGTAGCTGTATCATGTGCTACACACATGGTACACACATGTGAGATATTTACCTGTATGATGGAATGCCTGTAGCTGTATCATGCGCTACACACATGGTCTGTGAGATATTTACCTGTATGATGGAATGCCTGTAGCTGTATCATGCGCTACACACATGGTCTGTGAGATATTTACCTGTATGATGGAATGCCTGTAGCTGTATCATGCGCTACACACATAGTCTGTGAGATATTTACCTGTATGATGGAATGCCTGTAGCTGTATCATGTGCTACACACATAGTCTGTGAGATATTTACCTGTATGATGGAATGCCTGTAGCTGTATCATGCGCTACACACATAGTCTGTGAGATATTTACCTGTATGATGGAATGCCTGTAGCTGTATCATGCCTGTAGCTGCTACTACACATAGTCTGTGAGATATTTACCTGTATGATGGAATGCCTGTAGCTGTATCATGCGCTACACACATAGTCTGTGAGATATTTACCTGTATGATGGAATGCCTGTAGCTGTATCATGTGCTACACACATAGTCTGTGAGATATTTACCTGTATGATGGAATGCCTGTAGCTGTATCATGCGCTACACACATAGTCTGTGAGATATTTACCTGTATGATGGAATGCCTGTAGCTGTATCATGCGCTACACACATATGGTGTGTGAGATATTTACCTGTATGATGGAATGCCTGTAGCTGTATCATGCGCTACACACATGGTCTGTGAGATATTTACCTGTATGATGGAATGCCTGTAGCTGTATCATGCGCTACACACATGGTTTGTGAGATATGTACCTGTATGATGGAATGCCTGTAGCTGTATCATGCGCTACACACATGGTCTGTGAGATATTTACCTGTATGATGGAATGCCTGTAGCTGTATCATGCGCTACACACATGGTCTGTGAGATATTTACCTGTATGACGAAATGCCTGTAGCTGTATCATGCGCTACACACATGGTCTGTGAGATATTTACCTGTATGACGGAATGCCTGTAGCTGTATTATGCTCTACACACATGGTCTGTGAGATATGTACCTGTATGACAGAATGCCTCGAGCTGTATCATGCGCTACACACATGGTCTGTGAGATATCTACCTGTTTGATGGAATGCCTGTAGCTGTATCATGCGCTACACACATAGTCTGTGAGATATTTACCTGTATGACGGAATGCCTGTAGCTGTATCATGCGCTACACACATGGTCTGTGAGATATGTACCTGTATGACGGAATGCCTCGAGCTGTATCATGCGCTACCCAGATGGTGTGTGAGATAAGTACCTGTATGATGGAATGCCTGTAGCTGTATCATGCGCTACACACATGGTGTGTGAGATATTTACCTGTATGATGGAATGCCTGTAGCTGTATCATGCGCTACACACATAGTCTGTGAGATATGTACCTGTATGATGGAATGCCTGTAGCTGTATCGAGCTGTATCATGCGCTACCAAGATGGTGTGTGAGGTATGTACCTGTATGATGGAATGCCTGTAGCATGCGCTGCATCATGGTCTGCTACACATGGTCTGTTAGATATCTACCTGTATGATGGAATGCCTGTAGCTGTATCATGCTACACACATGGTCTGTTAGATATCTACCTGTATGATGGAACATGGTATCTACCTGCCTGTAGATCATGCGCTACACATATGTTAGATATGTACCTGGATGGAATGCCTGTAGCTGTATCATGCGCTACACACATGGTCTGTGAGATATTTACCTGTATGATGGAATGCCTGTAGCTGTATCATGCGCTACACACATGGTCTGTGAGATATTTACCTGTATGATGGAATGCCTGTAGCTGTATCATGCGCTACACACATAGTCTGTGAGATATTTACCTGTATGACTGAATGCCTGTAGCTGTATCATGCGCTACACACATAGTTTACCTGTATGAGATATGTACCTGTATGATGGAATGCCTGTAGCTGTATCATATCATGGCGCTACACACATGGTCTGTGAGATATTTACCTGTATGATGGAATGCCTGTAGCTGTATCATGCGCTACACACATGGTCTGTGAGATATTTACCTGTATGACGGAATGCCTGTAGCTGCATCATGCACTACACACATGGTGTGTGAGATATAGAGAATCTCACCCAAGTGTCTTCTGATATCAATTATATCAACACGAGTTGATAAAGTTACAAATATCCGAGGCTTGCCGAGGATATTTTTACCTTTATCAGCGAGTGTTGATATAATTGATATCAGTAGACACGAGGGTGAGATTCTATTTATCATCCCAAATCATTCTTCGTTAATTTTCAATGAAAAATGTACATCTCTGAACATGGTACTGCCATTAGACTTGCAGTGCAGCGATGTCATAGCATTGTGACGTAATCAAGTACATGACGTCATAGCATTGTCAGGGCATTGTACAAAATCTACTGTCAAAAGGAGATATCGTTTGATCTCACACAAGCAATATCTCCTGTGGAACACAGTTTTGGATGATAAATTTTTTCCTGTATGACAGATTGCCTCTATGTGTAGAACATGGTGTTTCAGTCAGCCACGAGTATGGACGAGGAGATGGATGACCCACTGGATCTTCCAGACCCTCCAAAACATGACCTGAGTACCTGGCGGGTCACTGTCCCTCGGATAGGTGCTCGACCAGACCCAGACAACCCCAAGAAACAGTTCTTTGTCTTCATCATTGATGTGCGACGTGTTGATGTACCAGAAGGTAAGACTGCCAAGTTAAAGTACTGTTATTTTAAGAATCATTTATGCCAGCAGCTAGGCAGCCAAGGATACAAACTACAAAACACGACCTTAAATACAGATCCTTTGACTTATACAGGACATACTTTCTTATTTTTAGCAAAACACACATGAACTACCTGTTCCTAGGTACAAATTCAGGGGAGAATTACAATTGTTGTACTTTGTTATTATATTGACATACATTGTCATACAACAACAAATATGACTATGTTTGAGTCAAAATCTGGTATTTATGAAATTTGTGTCCATTGCCCACCAACTAAGCTTTGTATGGACGTGTCAGTAGTGATGTTAGTGGTTGCAGTATGTATTATATGATGATGAGTTGGTGGAAATTGCAGCTCAGTTCACACATGATTTTCACAAACAACTGAATAAAATAAGTAGGTCATGCTGTACTCTAGAATAACAAGTAACTTACTTGATTGTTCATAAAAACTCCAAAGGCAATAAGGGAGCTTCTGTTTCATCCAATGTGCCATGGTTTGCTATGCTTAGTTTTATGGGCACTCCAGAAACCCATGGTTGTCAGTCTGAATCCAGACTCCCCCCTATAATGTTTTGGGTTTGTCCATACCATTCCTGTGATTCTATCTTTCACCAGAGTGGTACATTTTGCTCTGAGCTTTTCTCCAACAGTAAGTTGCATAGGCGGATCCAGAAAAAAAAAGGGGGTGGGGGGTGTTTGTTTTCGTACCCCCTGAACCCCCCCTCTGGATCCGCCACTGAGTTGACACACTATGATAAAACTCAAATACTGTTCAGGCCAGTGTGAACCACAATTCACTCATCTTTTTCAATCATTGACAGCAGAATGGAATACATTCTGTCTGACTGACAATTAAATATTTCTTGACTTCAATCCTAATAGTTAATCTGTTTATGAATGGATGTATTTGTGTTTTGTTTAGTATGTTATTCAATACATTGAACTTAAGTTTAATTTGGCCAACATCAGCATGGTCAGGTTACATGAGTCAATGGTAAATGTGTTTCACTTGGTCTGATATCGGAAGAGTATACTTGCTGCAGGACTTGCCCTTCACAAGCTCATTGCCTTAGACTTCTAACAAACCCTTTCAACAATTGTACATGGAGTATCTCTCTTCTGACCATAGCATATGCATCATTAGTGTCTTAGTGTCGTGGATATGGTTGTGCATGTAAGTGAAGTACAAGTACCAAGTCATGTTATTGACAGACAACAGTTGCATTGTTTTCAGGTGTGTCTGAGAGGTCCAACTGGATTGTGGCAAGGTAAGGTGTATTTTTCAATGTGCCTACCTGAATGTCCAGTGAGTATCTTCTGTTAGGCTAAATACCCTGGACAACAGCTTGGTTTGTAATTTGTATGCGAGTGACACAAAAAAATAAGTGGTAATTTTCATTCGTCAATTTTATTCTTACTGGAGGCTATACATATCTCAGCTAGACTTGCAGGTAGTAGTGGTGGGCATGGCCTATGTGTGTTTTAGGTTTATGCTTTATTAACCATTCATTTGCAATATATTTATTTTATGATAAAGAAGCAATATGACCAGTACTGGTCTTGTGAGCCTGTTGCTGACATTCACAACTGACCTGCCAAGGTAGCATGAGAACACCCACCACATGTCCTTCTGTAACACACCTCCTGTCCAATTCAGTGTAGTTCTATGCTGAAATCTTATACAGAGGAGTCTTTTTCATTGGTTGTTGAAGTTAGTGCACAGTGCACAGGAATGACATGTTTTATCATAGAATGGAGGTACCCTGGAAAACTGCATGCTTACAAAATATTAAGCAATGCGAAGACAAATAAGGAAAATATTTTCCTGAGGGAATAATCAGATAGTGACAATACTATTGTCTACCTTCAGTCGTTGTCTCAAGGTTAGTGTTATAACGTCCTGCTACGACATGCACACAGTAGGTCTGTTAAAACTGGACACAGGAATGACATGTTTTATCATAGAATGGAGGTACCCTGGAAAACTGCATACTTACAAAATATTAAGCAATGCAAAGACAAATAAGGAAAATATTTTCCTGAGGGAATAATCAGATAGTGACAATACTATTGTCTACCTTCAGTCGTTGTCTCAAGGTTAGTGTTATAACGTCCTGCTACGACATGCAGACAGTAGGTCTGTTAAAACTGTCATTTACACGGATGATAAACAATGCTTGCTTGTCCGATTTGCAGACGCTACACTGAGTTCTATGTGCTGGAGCAAAAGCTGGTAGAATTCCATGGAGAATTTGACTGCCAACTGCCTCCAAAGAAGACATTTGGTACTAAAAACCAGGAATTTATAGAGGGAAGGAGGGAGGTCGTCGAGCAGTATTTGCAGGTGAGTTATATAGCATGTGCAGATGAGATAAGAGGTGTATAGGGTGTGCAGATGAGATGGGAGGTGTATAGGATGTGCAGATGAGATGGGAGGTGTATAAGATGTGCAGATGAGATACATAGGATGTGCAGATGAGATGGGAGGTGTGTAGGATGTGCAGATGAGATGGGAGGTGTGTAGGATGTGCAGATGAGATAGGATGAGATGAGGGAGGTGTGTAGGATGTGCAGATGAGATGGGAGTGTATAGGATGTGCAGATGAGATGGGAGGTGTATAGGATGTGCAGATGAGATGGGAGGTGATAGAGATGTGCAGATGAGATAGGATGTGCAGATGAGATGGGAGATGTATAGGATGTGCAGATGAGATGGGAGATGTATGGGATGTGCAGATGAGATCGGAGGTGTATAGGATGTGCAGATGAGATGGGATGTATAGGATGCAGATGAGAGATGAGATGGGAGATGTATGGGATGATGCAGATGAGATGGGAGGTGTATAGGATGTGCAGATGAGATATAGGATGGAGCTGTAGGATAGGATGGGAGGTGTATAGGATGTGCAGATGAGATGGGAGCTGTATAGGATGTGCAGATGAGGTGGGAGTTGTGTATGATGTGCAGATGAGATGGGATGTGCAGATGAGATAGGATGTCAGATGAGATGGGATGGGATGTATGTCAGATGATGTGCAGATGAGATGGGATGTGCAGATGAGATAGGATGTCAGATGAGATGGGAGATGTATGGGATGTGCAGATGAGATCGGAGGTGTATAGGATGTGCAGATGAGATGGGAGCTGTATAGGATGTGCAGATGAGATGGGAGGTGTATAAGATGTGCAGATGAGTAGGGAGGTACATAGGATGTGCAGATGAGGTGGGAGGTGTGTAGGATGTGCAGATGAGGTGGGAGGTGTGTAGGATGTGCAGATGAGGTGGGAGATGTATAGGATATACAGATGAGATAGGTGTATATGATGTGCAGATTTCAGGTTTATACAAACCTGTAAACAAGATAATTTACCCCCTGAAATGTACATGAATTCTACATCAGCCCTCATATCTATTCTTCATATGACGTCACAGAGACGCGCCACTCTGATTGGTTGAAATTTTGTTCGCAGGTGGGAATTGTGCACTGTTGTCAAAAAGGTTGATTTAAGTTAATTAGAGATCAAAATGAGTAGTTTTAATGATGGGGTTTCATTTATAACGATGCCAGTTAGTGATTTATGTATTTGTACCCCACTAGAGTATGTGTGATCTTTAAGCTGTTTTTTAAATGCTGACCTGAATATGTTTGCAGAAGCTGCTGACAAAGCCACACCTTAAAGGAAGTGAACTGTTGAAAAGATTTCTTTCCTCAGACAAAGAAGAGTTTACCACAAGTCTCTTCACTGACATCAATTTGGGTAAGCATGGACCAAACCGAAGATCTAATGTAGACATTTTTCGACTTAGGATTCCTTGTAAACCACTGGGTGGAAAATCAGCTGTCCCTTCATGTCACTTGATGTCTGTATTACATTGATGTACTTTAAGGAGATGAGGTATTATTCCACCCCTCTGTTTCTTGTTGCAGGCAAGCTTGTCAAGGCAATGCCAATGAAGTTAGTCAAAGAGGTATGTAGACAGTATGTTTAGCTGACCTGATGTAATGGCTTATGTCCAGCACCAGTATCTGTGAACATCTTCTCCCCACAAATCACTGGAGAAGTGAAACTGAAACTTGATAAACCTGTTCACCAGTGGTGACACAAGAGTTTGTTCTGTTCACCTGTGGTGACACAAGAGTTTGTTCTGTTTACCTGTGGTGACACAAGAGTTTGTTCTGTTCACCTGTGGTGACACAAGAGTTTGTTCTGTTCACCAGTGGTGACACAAGAGTTTGTTCTGTTCACCAGTGGTGACACAAGAGTTTGTTCTAGAGCTTCCAATTCAATTTTCATAAAGGTCTCAATGACCATTGATGGCCGTAACCCAGTCACCTGTGTACAGAAGGTAGTTAAATTTGGAATATGTGGAATCAGCATTGGGGATTTACATTTTATGTTCTATTTTTGGAATGGAGCCGAAACTTATTATGCTTGTTCTGTCAAATCATGCATGAATCAATGTGAAACGTTATATGCAGCAGGTATATGGAAAAACATAATAGTTTTGGGGGAATTGTTATCCAGCTGTGACCTTTGACCTGTATGTTTCTTGTCTTCCTTGTGTTGCTGCATTTTTAACTTCACCTCTGAAACATTGTCTGTGGAGAGAAAGCTAGTTTTTCTTACACAAGTTATGATGTCTTGGTATTGAACTTTGTCACTATGATGAGGTTGATGCATATTTCCTCACAAGTCTGGTGAGCTACAGAGCCTTGTGCCCCTGTTTTATATGACCTGGGACTATGGTTTATCAATAGGCAATAACTTTACATTGTATAATGTTTGTTCGTAAATTGTTGTGGCAATAAATGGTATGCTTTATGAGTGTATTTTGTATAAAACATATGAAATTGTGATGTAAAGCCAAGTTGCTGGTTCTGTGTTGATTACACATACAATGGAAGTACTATTTGACAGGTACTCTTGCTCTCCAGTTTGTGTGGGTAGTTGTCATGTGTTGTCAGTTGATGATGTTGTCACCCTTAATGACATCTGTAATGAAACTTCTACTGCTTCTCAATAATAAAAGCAAAAATGAAAACACATCCATGTCTACATCATGTTTAGGGCTCTAGTTAAAGTTTTCTTATTCAGATTGGCTAAACAAAGATAGTGAGACTAAATGAAACTTAATGTTCTTCTGTTGAGTTGACAGTAATAATTGTGCAGTACTGTTAAGTATATAAGATTATCCTACAGTCATACTGGAAGTCTAACGTCAGAAATGAGATCATGGTAATTTATTAATACATTCTACCATGAGTCATAAATGTCTTCCCATCAATTTAGACTTCTTCCAGTCCACTGACATACCATCCTATTACTGACGATCAGAGTAGGATTAAACTCATTGGTCTGTTTGAAGATGGTTAACTGTTTGTATTTCACTTATCTGTACAGAGAGGTCAGCACCTTGACCCTTTCCTCCAAGCATTTTTCCAGTCCACTGAGGCACCTCGTCCTCGGCCCAGGTAGGTACCACATCTTGACAGTTTACTCCACCACCTCTCTATACAGAACCCTCACTCCTCCACCACCTCTCTATACAGAACCCTCACTCCTCCACCACCTCTCTGTAGAGAACCCTACTGACTCATCTACCACCTCTCTATACAGAACCCTCACTCCTCCACCACCTCTCTATACAGAACCCACACTCCTCCACCACCTCTCTATACAGGAATACAGGGCTCTCACTCCTCCACCACCTCTCTGTAGGGAACCCTACTGACTCATCTACCACCTCTCTATACAGAACCCTCACTCCTCCACCACCTCTCTATACAGAAATTCAAAAACCCTCACTCTTCCACCACCTCTCTATACAGGAATTACAAAACCCTCACTCCTCCACCACCTCTCTATACAGAACCCTCACTCCTCCACCACCTCTCTATAAAGGAATACAGAACCCTCACTCCTTCACCACCTCTCTATAAAGGAATACAGAACCCTCACTTCTCCACCACCTCTCTATACAGAACCCTCACTCCTCCACCTACTCTCTATACAGAACCCTCACTCCTCCATCACCTCTCTGTAGAGAACCCTCACTCCTCCACACCTCTCTATACAGAACCCTCACCCCTCCACCACCTCTCTATAGAGAACCCTCACTTCTCCACCACCTCTCTATACAGAACCCTCACTCCTCCACCACCTCTCTATACAGAACCCTCACTCCTCCACCACCTCTCTATACAGAACCCACACTCCTCCACCACCTCTCTATACAGGAATACAGGGCTCTCACCCTCCTCCACCCACCTCTCTGTAGAGAACCCTACTGACTCATCTACCATTTCTCTATACAGAACCCTCACTCACCACCTCCTATGCACCTCCTCTCCACCACCTCTATAAAGGAATACAGAACCCTCACTCCTCCACCCACCTCTATACAGAACCCTCACTCCTCCACCTCCTCTCTATACAGAACCCTCACTACTCCACCACCTCTCTATACAGAATCCTAACTCCTCCACCACCTCTCTATACAGAACCCTCACCCCTCCATCACCTCTCTATAGAGAACCCTCACTTCTCCACCACCTCTCTATACAGAGCCCTCACTCCTCCACCACCTCTCTATACAGAACCCTCACTCCTCCACCACCTCTCTGTAGAGAACCCTACTGACTCATCTACCACCTCTCTATACAGAACCCTCACTCCTCCACCACCTCCCTTTACAGAACCCACACTCCTCCACCACCTCTCTATACAGGAATACAGGGCTCTCACTCCTCCACCACCTCTCTGTAGGGAACCCTACTGACTCATCTACCACCTCTCTATACAGAACCCTCACTCCTCCACCACCTCTCTATACAGAAATTCAAAAACCCTCACTCTTCCACCACCTCTCTATACAGGAATTACAAAACCCTCACTCCTCCACCACCTCTCTATACAGAACCCTCACTCCTCCACCACCTCTCTATAAAGGAATACAGAACCCTCACTCCTCCACCACCTCTCTATACAGAACCCTCACTCCTCCACCACCTCTCTATACAGAACCCTCACTCCTCCACCACCTCTCTATACAGAACCCTCACTCCTCCACCACCTCTCTATAGAGAACCCTCACTCCTCCACCACCTCTCTATACAGAACCCTCACCCCTCCACCACCTCTCTATAGAGAACCCTCACTCCTCCACCACCTCTCTATACAGAACCCTCACTCCTCCACCACCTCTCTATACAGAACCCTCACTCCTCCACAACCTCTCTATAGAGAACCCTCACTCCTCCACGACCTCTCTATAGAGAACCCTCACTCCTCCACCTCCTCTCTATACAGAACCCTCACTCCTCCACCACCTCTCTATACAGAACCCTCACTCCTCCACCACCTCTCTATAGAGAACCCTCACTCCTCCACCACCTCTCTATAGAGAACTCTCACTCTTCCACCACTTCTCTATACAGAACCCTCACTCCTCCACCACCTTCTATAGAGAACCCTCACTCCTCCACCACCTCTCTATAAAGACCCTCACCCCTCCACCACCTCTCTATAGAGAACCCTCACTTCTCCACCACCTCTCTATACAGAGCCCTCACTCTTCCACCACCTCTCTATACAGAGCCCTCACTCCTCCACCACCTCTCTATAGAGAACCCTCACTCCTCCACCACCTCTCTACGCAGAACCCTCACTCTTCCACCACTTCTCTATACAGGAATACAGGGCTCTCACTCCTCCACCACCTCTCTATACTGAAATTCAAAAACCCTCACTCTTCCACCACCTCTCTATACAGGAATTCAAAAACCCTCACTCTTCCACCACCTCTCTATACAGGAATTCAAAAACCCTCACTCTTCCACCACCTCTCTATACAGGAATTACAAAACCCTCACTCCTCCACCACCTCTCTATACAGGAATACAGGACCCTCACTCCCCCACTACCTCTCTATAGAGAACCTGCACTCCTCCACCACCTCTCTATACAGGAATACAGGGCTCTCACTCCTCCACTACCTCTCTATAGAGAACCCTCACTCCTCCACCACCTCTCTATACAGAACCCACACTCCTCCACCACCTTTCTATACATGAATACAGGACCCTCACTCCTCCACGACCTCTCTATAGAGAACCCCCACTCCTCCACCACCTCTCTATACAGGAATACAGAACCCTCACTCCTCCACCACCTCTCTATAGAGAACCCTCACTCCTCCCCCACCTCTCTATACAGGAATACAGAACCCTCACTCCTCCACCACCTTTCTATACAGGAATACAGAACCCTCACTCCTCCAACACCTCTCTATAGAGAACCCTCACTCCTCCACCACCTCTCTATACAGAACCCTCACTCCTCCACCACCTCTCTGTAGAGAACCCTCACTCCTCCACCACCTCTTTATAGAGAACCCTACTGACTCATCTACCACCCCTCTATACAGAACTCTCACTCATCCACCACCTCTCTATACAGAACTCTCACTCATCCACCACCTCCCTATACAGACCTTGTCACCCTCCACAACCTCTCCTTTCTTGGGCGGTGGGGTAGCCTAATGGTTAAAGCGTTGGCTCGTCACGCCGAAGACCCGGGTTTGACTCCCCACATGGGCACAATGTGTGAAGCCCATTTCTGGTGTCCCCCGCCGTGATGTTGCTGGAATATTGCTAAAAGCGGCGTAAAACCAAACTCAGTCAGTCAGTCAGTCTCCTTTCGTTGGTAAGAGAGTCTGCCCAGATAAATTTCACAATTCTTACAAATATGTCCATTTTACACTTGATTGCCGCTTTTCCTGAATCCACAGGTTTAGCTTGAATAACATTGTAAAAGTCCATGGTTCTGTGTTGTCTATCTTCTTAGTTAATGTTTCCTGTGTACATCAAAGGGGGGGCATGAGGACATCATAGCAGAGACAACGGGATGAGAGATAACAATACACACACACAAAGAGATGTTTTAGTACAGGCATTTCGGGCTGGACAGACTGCAAGGACTATTGGTTTGTCTTGTGAATTCGGAGGAAGCTGCCTTTGACTAATGAAGTTGATGAAGCAGATGATCCATCAACTGTTAAGATGGAGATACCAGGAGATACTTTTCAGGTAATCCACTGCCATCGAGACAGTATGACAAAGGCAAGTTTTGATTCCTAGTCCCTACTAGCGAATCTTCTTGGCCAATTTACACTGTTGAGGAGGGATTATTATCAGTTAGGTTCATCCATCTCTTCAGAGACAAGGAACATGCTGTATTGTTAGCTCTTCAGTGAGTAATATGAACAGGCCTTCGAAGTACTTAAATCATTGCAGCTCAACCGAGTAATCCCTTAAGTCAGGCACCAGCCTGGGCAGTTCTGGAAAACGGATCTCTGGCATGACAGCAGAAACAGGCCAAGTTTCATTCCAAGGGATATGGGAAAGGATTTCACGCCAAGAAGGATAGAAAGTCCAGGCCTAAATTGTCTTGACTCACCTCAAACTTTCCAGACATAAGCAGTCTGGATCTTGACCTTGACTAAAGACAAGACATGACCTCCCAAGATGGAGTCTTCAGTCCTAAGTCAGACAATCTCTACTGGAGACTCTCTGATCTCCATAGACCTGCAGGATGTGTATCTATATGTTCTGATCCATCCAGACTCTCAGCGATACCAACACTTTGCGGTCAATGAAAGACTCTTCCATTTCAGGGTTCTACTGATTGGAGTATCAGTCACTCAGTGGCTAATCCCTATCATCACAGCTCCAGTCCCAGGGTATATACATCTTCAGTGTTGAAGAATTCACAGGAACCTGGACGATTTACTTGCTCTAAACGCTGATGTGGATGCCTGTTTAGAAGACTCTCAATACCTGCCGACTTTCTTCAGGAATTTGGTGTTCTTTGTTCATATGGAAAAGTCAGAGCTTAGATCCAAGAAAATGCATTATTCGACACCGACCGAAGCCAAGTTTGTCTTCCAGAGGAACTTTATCGAGAGGTCAGATTCAAGATAACAGAGTTTCAGCGATCTCCACACATCAATGGATGTCATTACTATAGCTGCTCTCACTTCTCTGCAGGATATAACATTCAGAAACTGTCTGCATCTACAATACAGTCAAGATTTGATCAACCAACATCCAGGGACATAGCTGGACTCTGTCATAGTGCCTTAGGATCTAGTGTTTAGGGACCACACATGGTAGAATATTCCTGAAAACAGCCAATGACCCAAAAACAGTACCGAGTAGTGCAGCATTTTTTCTATATCTTAGGAAAGATCTCTTTTGCATTGCACCATAGAAGACCATTCGCTCACTAAGCAAGGGTTTCATGTTGGTAAGGATCTGATTCTTGTTATTGTGCTACGATCTTTTAATGCAACAAGACAACTCATAACTACAAAATAGGATTTATCAGTAGTATCATCAGGATTATTGTGTCATCCTTTTGAACCTATGGAAACATGAGTTTAAAGTTCGAGTTTAAAGCCTGAAATGGTTGACTATGAGTAAAATTGGAATCGGATAATGGATGGATAAACCAGAAGTCATGGTGATGTCATAGTGATGTCATCAGAAATACCATTAACCGAAAATGACATCACAGTCCACGATAATATTAAATACCACAGCAAGAGTTGTCACAACAACCGAACTCAGGTCTGTTTGTCTTATCAGTAAGCATTAAGAGTTTTATGGTTGTCTTCCTGACTTAGTTTGAGATACTCCCAACCTACCGTATATTACCGTAGATAAGCCGTGGGATTTGGCAATCAAGTGTTAGAGGGAGGTATTCGTAAGAATTTTGGAATATTATCAACAATTATTATAGTATAATAGTGTTCTAACCTCTAACATTTGAGGTAAAAGCCCACCAGATATCCCTTCCGTGAGGTATCCTAGGAAAAATTATGAGGTTTCCTTCACTTCCACGAATTGTTATCATTTTTGATAATGTTTCAAAATTGTCCTTTACAAACTGCATTCATTACACTGAATATGACTGGATTGTCTTTTAGTAAACTGGAAAGGAGAGGATCTGATGCTTCACAGAGGTCAACATCCAGTGAGAAGGTGAGTGTATGGGTTTATGAAGCGGTAACAAATCTTCCAAAAGCCATACAGGGGATTGTAATAATCATGTTGAGTGTGATAGATGTCAGACAGTTCAAACTTGACAAAAGTCACCAAAGAATTATAACAACTAATGATAAAATAATTTATCAGTACTCACTGTTGTAAGCGATAATAACAAAATTTGCTCAGGAGATCATGTGTATTGGCTTGGTTAACAGTGCCAAGACACTAGTTTGCCATCGCGATGGACATGTCATCCTTATGTGAGCCGGAATTGCTTGATCCCCGGCATTATACACAAACATAGAACAGCCTCATGTTGTGGGCTTGTACTTGTGGACAGAAGATTTATCAGAATATGAAGCACTTTGCTCTCTCTTTACAGATGTATTCCTCTTTGTATGAGAACAATGCAGGGTGTGGCTTCCGAGGGATGACTCCGTCCACAGCCGCCCCACCTATTGTCACCCGGGAGGTAGAGGGCGTGTTTGATTCCCTCATCTATGTCGGTAAGTTTCACTGTGCATTGTCTGTAGGAAGTGGAGCTGGATTTGCTTACATTGTCTGTAGGAAGTGGAGCTGGATTTGATGATGTTGTCTGTGTGGGAAGTGGAGCTGGATTTGCTTATATTGTCTGTAGGAAGTGGAGCTGGATTTGCTTATGTTGTCTGTGTGGGAAGTGGAGCTGGATTTGCGTACATTGTCGGTAGGAAGTGGAGCTGGATTTGATGATGTTGTCTGTGTGGGAAGTGGAGCTGGATTTGCTTACATTGTCTGTAGGAAGTGGAGCTGGATTTGCTTACATTGTCTGTAGGAAGTGGAGCTGGATTTGCTTACATTGTCTGAAGGAAGTGTAGCTGGATTTGATGATGTTGTTTGTGTAGGAAGTGGAGCTGGATTGGCTTATGTTGTCTGTGTGGGAAGTGGAGCTGGATTTGATGATGTTTTCTGTATAGGAAGTGGAACTGGATTTGATGATATTGTCTTTGTAGGAAGTGGAGCTGGTTTTGATGATGTTGTCTGTGTGGGAAGTGGAGCTGGATTTGATGATGTTGTTTGTGTAGGAAGTGAAGCTGGATTTGATGATGTTGTCTGTGTAGGAAGTTGAGCTGGATTTGCTTATGTTGTCAGTGTAGGACCTGGAGCTGGATTTGCATTATGTTGTCTTTGTAGGAAGTGGAGCTGGATTTGCTTATGTTGTCTGTGTAGGAAGTGGAGCTGGATTGGCTTATGTTGTCTTTGTGTGAGGTCGAGCTGGATTTGATGATGTTGTCTTTGTAGGAAGTGGAGCTGGATTTGATGATGTTGTTTGTGTAGGAAGTGGAGCTGGATTGGCTTATGTTGTCTGTGTAGGAAGTGGAGCTGGATTGGCTTATGTTGTCTTTGTGTGAGGTCGAGCTGGATTTGATGATGTTGTCTTTGTAGGAAGTGGAGCTGGATTTGCTTATATTGTCTGTGTGGAAAGTGGAGCTGGATTTGATGATGTTGTCTTTGTAGGAAGTGGAGCTGGATGATGTTTTCTGTATAGGAAGTGGAACTGGATTTGATGATATTGTCTTTGTAGGAAGTGGAGCTAGATTTGCTTATATTGTCTGTGTGGAAAGTGGAGCTGGATTTGATGATGTTGTCTGTGTGGGAAGTGGAGCTGGATTTGATGATTTTAAGGGAAGTGAAGCTGGATTTAATGATGTTGTCTGTGTAGGAAGTGGAGCTGGATTTGATGATTTTGTCTGTGAGGGAAGTGAAGCTGGATTTGATGATGTTGTCGGTGTAGGAAGTGGAGCTGGATTTGCTTACATTGTCTGTAGGAAGTGGAGCTGGATTTGATGATGTTGTCTGTGTGGGAAGTGGAGCTGGATTTGCTTACATTGTCTGTAGGAAGTGGAGCTGGATTTGCTTATGTTGTCTTTGTGTGAGGTAGAGCTGGATTTGATGATGTTGTCTGTGTAGGAAGTGGAGCTGGATTTGCTTATGTTGTCTTTGTAGGAAGTGGAGCTGGATTTGATGATGTTTTCTGTATAGGAAGTGGAACTGGATTTGATGATATTGTCTGTGTAGGAAGTGGAGCTGGTTTTGATGATGTTGTCTGGGTGGGAAGTGGAGCTGGATTTGATGATGTTGTCTATGTAGGACATGGAGCTGGATTTGATGATGTTGTCTGTGTAGGAAGTGGAGCTGGATTTGATGATGTTGTTTGTGTGGGAAGTAGAGCTGGATTTGATCATGTTGTCTGTGTAGGAAGTAGAGCTGGATTTGATGATGTTGTCTGTGTGGGAAGTAGAGCTGGATTTGATGATGTTGTCTGTGTAGGAAGTGGAGCTGGATTTGATGATGTTGTCTTTGTAGGAAGTGGAGCTGGATTTGATGATGTTGTGTGAGTAGGACATGGAGCTGGATTTGATGATGTTGTCTGTGTAGGAAGTGGAGCTGGATTTGATGATGTTGTTTGTGTAGGAGGTGGAGCTAGATTTGCTTATGTTGTCTGTGTGGGAAGTGAAGCTGGATTTGGATGTTGTCTAGATTTGCTTATGTGTGTCTGTGTGGGAAGTGAAGCTGGATTTGATGATGTTGTCTGTGTGGGAATGTTGTCTGTGTGGGTGGAGCTGGATTTGATTATGTTGTCTGTGTGGGAAGTGGAGCTGGATTTGATGATGTTTTCTGTGTAGGAAGTGAAGCTGGATTTGATGATGTTGTCTTTGTAGAAAGTGGAGTCTGTGAGGAAAGTGGAGCTGGATTTGATGATTTAGGATGATGTTGTCTGTGTAGGAAGTCTGTGAGCTGGATTTGATGATGTTGTCTGTGTAGAAAGTGGAGCTGGATTTGATGATGTTGTCTTTGTGGGAAGGAGCTGGATTTGATGATGTTGTCTGTGTAGGACATAGAGCTGGATTTGATGATGTTGTCTGTGTAGGAAGTTGAGCTGGATTTGATGATGTTGTTTGTGTAGGAGGTGGAGCTGGATTTGCTTATGTTGTCTGTGTGGGAAGTGGAGCTGGATTTGATGATTTTTAAGGGAAGTGAAGCTGGATTTGATGATGTTGTCTGTGTAGGAAGTGGAGCTGGATTTGATGATTTTGTCTGTGTGGGAAGTGGAGCTGGATTTGCTTATGTTGTCTGTGTGGGAAGTGGAGCTGGATTTGATGATTTTTAAGGGAAGTGAAGCTGGATTTGATGATGTTGTCTGTGTAGGAAGTGGAGCTGGATTTGATGATGTTGTCTGTGTGGGACATGGAGCTGGATTTGATGATGTTGTGTGTGTAGGACATGGAGCTGGATTTGATGATGTTTTCTGTGTAGGAAGTGAAGCTGGATTTGATGATGTTGTCTTTGTAGAAAGTGGAGCTGGATTTGATGGTGTTGTCTGTGTAGAAAGTGGAGCTGGATTTGATGATGTTTGTCAATGTAGGACCTGGAGCTGGATTTGCTTATGTTGTCTTTGTAGGAAGTGGAGCTGGATTTGATGGTGTCGTCTGTGTAGAAAGTGGAGCTGGATTTGATGATGTTGTCTGTGTAGAAAGTGGAGCTGGATTTGATGATGTTGTCTTTGTGGGAAGTGAAGCTGGATTTGATGATGTTGTCTGTGTAGGACATAGAGCTGGATTTGATGATGTTGTCTGTGTAGGAAGTTGAGCTGGATTTGATGATGTTGTTTGTGTAGGAGGTGGAGCTGGATTTGCTTATGTTGTCTGTGTGGGAAGTGGAGCTGGATTTGATGATTTTTAAGGGAAGTGAAGCTGGATTTGATGATGTTGTCTGTGTAGGAAGTGGAGCTGGATTTGATGATTTTGTCTGTGTGGGAAGTGGAGCTGGATTTGATGATGTTGTGTGTGTAGGACATGGAGCTGGATTTGATGATGTTTTCTGTGTAGGAAGTGAAGCTGGATTTGATGATGTTGTCTTTGTAGGAAGTGGAGCTGGATTTGATGGTGTTGTCTGTGTAGAAAGTGGAGCTGGATTTGATGATGTTTGTCAATGTAGGACCTGGAGCTGGATTTGCTTATGTTGTCTTTGTAGGAAGTGGAGCTGGATTTGATGGTGTCGTCTGTGTAGAAAGTGGAGCTGGATTTGATGATGTTGTCTGTGTAGAAAGTGGAGCTGGATTTGATGATGTTGTCTTTGTGGAAAGTGGAGCTGGATTTGATGATGTTGTCTGTGTAGGACATAGAGCTGGATTTGATGATGTTGTCTGTGTAGGAAGTTGAGCTGGATTTGATGATGTTGTTTGTGTAGGAAGTGGAGCGGGATTTGATGATGTTTTGTCTGTGTAGGACGTGGAGCTGGATTTGATGATGTTGTCTGTGTAGGAAGTGGAGCTGGATTTGATGATGTTGTCTGTGTAGGACGTGGAACTGGATTTGATGATTTTGTCTTTGTGGGAAGTGAAGCTGGATTTGATGATGTTGTCTGTGTAGGACGTGGAGCTGGATTCGATGATGTTGTCTGTGTAGGAAGTGAAGCTGGATTTGATGATGTTGTCGGTGTAGGACGTGAGGTTGGATTTGATGATGTTGTCTTTGTAGGAAGTGGAGCTAGATTTGATGATGTTGTTTGTGTAGGACGTGGAGCTAGATTTGATGATGTTGTTGGTGTAGGAAGTGAAGCTGGATTTGATGATGTTGTCTGTGTAGGAAGTGGAGCTAGATTTGGTTACATTGTCAATTACTTTCCAACAGTGTTATTGTCATGAGTGAAGATATATGCATGTTTCAGCACGTCATGTGTACAAGGTGCCAGCATGGTTCCACCATATCCTGATGACCATAAAGATTGTGGGCAAGAACACAATTGAGTCTTACATGGAGTGGTACCTGGACAACAAAATTGAGAAGCTGAAGCAAGAACATCGAGTTGTCAGCCTCATACACCTGCTCAGAGGTAACAGTAATATTTTAAGAGTATTTGCAGAAGCCAGATAACCACCAATACACGACACATGAAAGATACCAAGGGCTTCTGCAAATCATAATACAGTGGACCATGCTAAGTATAGCACTAACTTGGAAATAGCACGTGATAATGCATTACTCCAGAACTTTACATAGTTTTCAAGGGACTAAAGTTTTACACTGACTGATAGTTTTGTCTGTAACACAAACCCGTCACAACCTGATCTCTGTCAGCATGTAACTCCAGTAATCGAAACTGAAGTACACAGTTTGATCAGCAGATCGCATCAAATCAGTGTTTATATCTGCAACCATTTAAAAGCTGCAACTAAAATAACACACTACTGACGTATATTTTTCTGATTAAATAATAGTTTCAGATACAATTTTTTCCGATCATTGCAACAAAATCTATTAAAGCTATGTTTTGGGGTAACTTTATAGTGAATCACAGGTAGAGTGGAAGAACACATGTATTCAAATGATTACTATTTCTGTTGTAGTTTATAAGAAAATATATATGGAAAACTCAATCTCTTAGTTGTACATTCATCTGCAACACAGGTCAGGGTATCTGAAAACAACCTTAACATTGCACTTGGTCATAGTGGCTGCCTTGACCTACAATCTTCGAGGTATTCATGGTATAATGATGACTACAGAACAACTTCTGTTTCATGGATATCACCTACTATGTTATCATCAACAGGGCTGAGCCAGTATAATGACAGGGCACGGGGGTATGAAGACTACAGAACAACTTCTGTTTCATGGATATCACCATATATGTTATCATCAGCAGGGCTGAGCCAGTATAATGACGGGGCACGGGGGTATGAAGACTACAGAACAACTTCTGTTTCATGGATATCACCATCTATGTTATCATCATCAGGGCTGAGCCAGTATAATGACAGGGCACGGGGTATGAAGACTACAGGACAACTTCTGTTTCATGGATATCACCATCTATGTTATCATCATCAGGGCTGAGCCATATAATGACAGGGCATGGGGGTATGAAGACTACAGGACAACTTCTGCTTGATGGATATCACCATCTATGTTATCATCAGCAGGGCTGAGCCAGTATAATGACGGGACACGGGGGTATGAAGACTAGTAGTATACACCATGGGGCTACGGGACCAGGTCCCTCGCAAGGGCTCAATTTAAAAATTGAGCCCTTGAGAAGTCCCTAATCCCGTAGCCCCATGGTGTATACTACTACTGAGGTGAATGCAAACTTTGATGAAAATCGGTCGAATAGTTTCTGAAATATTGACTTTTAAGTGAGCGTGGGGTCGGTCGGGAGAAAAGGCTCGGGTCGCCTCGGGGGTGGTTGCTCCTCTGAGCACTGTGGGCGTACGAGTCGCAGTGCGTGTGCGTGTGTCTCTCTCGGCTTGGTGTACGGGTGGCTGGAGAAACCATCATCACACGGTGGGTAATGTGTAAGGGACTGTGTCGTGAGGTACGATCATCAACTCCTCTGAGACGAATGCTCTCGGCGGCCCGTTTTTCAAGTAGTACAAGTTCGGTTTGCCGTCTTTGATGTCGACCAGGTCGATGTTGTACGTTTTCACCATATCAGATCGGTGGTGCGTTTTCTGCTGTCTCCCTTGTATTCACCCGGCTGGTTTAAGTACCTAACGCTGACACGGTCCGGTAATGTTTTCTCTGTTTTATCGCGATGTGCCGTTGGTAACGATTCGACTGATTTCATTTTCATGGCTTTGACGGGTCTTTTGCCAACGAATCAGGTGACTTCGTTGTTGATGACATCCACCACTCGTGGCTAGCGTACAACCCATTCCGTGTTTCTGTTTCCGGGATCAATTAAATCCTGCGAGTATTGGTGCGAGAATAGGCGTTCGGTTAGGGTGCGATTGAATCTCTCAACGATGGCTTGGTAATGGTGAGCTCCCACTATACCTAGTCTCACTTGGACTTTGTGCTTGGCCAGCAGCTGTGACACGGCTGCCATGAACTCGCATCCGAGATCGAAATGCAATACGGCAGGCCATGTCAAGCGACTGCGTTTGTATATGCATTCTAAGGCTTTGGCGACTTCGTTCGAATCTTTCGTTGTCAACAGTTCGGCTTCCTTATAGCGACTGGCGATGTCGACAATGGTCAGGGCGTACTTATAGGTTTTGCGTCTCACTCTGTCGTGAGGCAGAAACTGGAGGTCGGCTTGGTAGATGCGATTCGGCGTCGAAATGTCGAATTTTCTTCTCGGGATGTACTGAGGCACCAGCAGGTAGACTTGCCAGATGGCTTGTTTTTTGAGCCAGGCCTTGGCTTTCTCTTCCGAGACTCGAGCGGCTTTGGCGAGTTTCGGGATGGCGTCCGTGCCTTTCCAGTACCCGTGTGGGCTGCGATAAATTTTCTCCATGATATATGTACGCATGTGTGCGTGCGAAAGCGTTCAATTATTTGATAGGCGTGTGTGTGTGTGTGTCCGTACGCGTAAGTGGTGACTCGTTCGATGGTGATCCATCGTTTCGTGTCCATGGGAGACAGCGAGGTATTGGTGATTCTCAGTCCGTATATCCTGTGTCTGTCGCTTCTCAGCATGTTCATTTGGTGTTTGAACGTTTTATTCTTGAACAGGGCTTCCTTGAATCTGGCGTGCTTGATGTGTGTTTTCACCACGTGTTTTTTCACGCCTTTCGCCTTTCGGATTTCGTCGTTGTCGGCTTTCTTGATGGAATACGTCTTGGGTCTCAAGCCGACGTACTCGGCGATCGGCTTGCCCGGGCATTCGTCCTTCATCTTGCCAAGCACTTTTTTGTTCTTTAGGGTAGTCGCTGGTGTCGTACAGGTGCGTGTGTTTCATCATGTCCTCGTACACGTCCTCGGTGCGAATTTCCATCAGCAGGGAATCCGTGTCCGTGTACAGCACTTTGCACCTGTCACCGTACTGCTTTTTCATCTTGTTGTAGTAGAAATCGTACATCAAGTGTTTGGATAAGTCGAGGATGCTCATCCCCACGTAAACGGGCCGGTTGAATTTGATGTAGCTTTTGTTCATGTGCAGAGCTGCCATGTCGTCGTCGAATATCTTGCTTCGGTTGAACGCTGGGCTGGCTATAAGTTTCCTGAGTTTTCCTTCCTCGCTGGATCTGACTAATTTCACGTTAATGTGTTTTCTCAAATTCTCCATCGTTTTGTCGAACACCAATTTGTTCATGAGCTTGTACAAGTTTTTTTCGAAGTCGCTCGTGGCTTGTTTTCGCAGGTTCGCGTTCAACCGAATCTAAGGTTCCATCCATGGACTTTGATGGAACTGGAATGCCCTGTGTATTTTCGTGAGTTCATTCCCAGCGACAAGTACAGCTGCAGATTGCGATATTTTGACTTGTTCATCAAGTTCGGCACAAGTTTTTTGACGTTAGCCAGCTTGTTGTCTCCCAGCAAGTTTCGTTGATATTCGGACATCCAGTCTGGGTTCACCATCAATCGTTCGGGAGCCAGGGGGATAGGTGTTGTGCGATTCATGTAATTCTCGGGGGTACTTCAAGTCCACTTCGAGCATGTAACCTTTGTTCGAATCCAGCGCGATGCTATTCATGTCGATATCGGACAGGCAGACGACCCATTTAAAACCCCCTGTGGGGAGATAAGGACTCATGGCACAGCCGTACAGGTTGTTGGCATCGAGATAGAGGATGTGTTTGGCCGGTTTGCTCGAGTCGTAGCCTTTCACGTATTGGTTGTTGGCTTTCGCTTATCGCTTGGATGCCATCGAAATCCCGCCTCGTATAGGCCTTTCTCCACGAACAGGTGCATGTCATAATCTGTTAACAATTCCAATTTAACTCTGGTCTTTTTCAACGAGATGTCCTAAGAGAGACCGAGGGAGGAGAAATAGCACACGGGGTCAAGGCCGTACTGTTTCGAGCACGTTTTTCTGAATATCTCAAACACGTCGGCCAGCAGCAGCACGTCCGTTTTCAAGTACAGGTCGTGTTAGTCGCCCAAATTCTTGCAGCCCAGTTTGTCCCACACGTTGAGCGCGTGCACGTAATCGTCCGGGGTGATGGCCGAGTCGGTCAAGTTGCTGTAAAATTGGTCGATGGGAGGTAATCGCGTCTCGTCGAACTTGGACCAATGGTCCATGTATTCGTAGGGGTAGATGCCCTTCCTCAGCAGCAGAGGTCGAGTCTCGGCGTCGGTGTATCGATTGGTGATGTCGAAGTCGAACTGAGTGCTGTCGATAAATCTCAGACTGTCTAACGAGAACGAGATGTACTTTTCCATTTTGGGGGGGGGGGGATGCACGTTATTTTGCCGTAGACCTTCGCGATGGCCTAAATCGGCTAAATCGTGACATTTATGTTCCGCTTCCACTTCGACCGCGTTTGACGTTCGTAATTTGGAGAAGAGAGAAATGCTGCCTGAAAATGCGAGGGTGTTGACTAATGCACCGTTAGGGCGTTGACTAATTTTTGTGGTGCTTGGCTAAACCACCTTTACTAACGGTGGCGACTTTTTTAGGATTCTTGGTGGTGGTGACTAGTCGTATCAGTGTCGTCAGCGTTGCTTCCTCCGTCGGCGTTGGCGTTTCCTCCTCCGGGTGTGCATCCATGTTGTACATTATTATCATTATTATTTTTTTCTTCTTTAAATTGACAATGCTTTGCCATGATGATCGCCGCAGTCACCGGAGCCCAAAACATGCCGTATCTGTGGTACAGCCAATGACCGGATCTTTCTCGAGATCTTCCCACAGGTAAAGTCGACGTTCCGGCGGAATGGGAAGGAAGTGAGCCGCTACACTGGCGTAGACTTGTGTTATGACAGACCCTATGGTTTTCGTCATTTCGGCGCCGAGTCTGGCATCGTATCTCACATACAGCTTGTCGATTTCTTCGGCTGGCATTTTGTGAATTTTATTGGTCGCCCCCACCCAAGTATTGTTTGGCTTTGCCACCAACCGCGAGCGCCACCAATCCATCTCGCTTGTTGTTTTTATTATTATCGTCATCATTTGTTTGAGGAGTTCGTCGCATTCCATCTTATAATGTAACGATTTTTAAGTCTAATAAAATCAAATCCGATGTACGCGAATCACAGCGAGATGAAAGTCAACATGCACGATTTTTAAGTCTAATAAAATCAAATCCGATGTACGCGAATCACAGCGAGATGAAAGTCATCATTTTGCTTGAGAATTTGCTTGAATTTTGCTAGAAATTTGCTTTAAAGCTAGTTGACTTTATATTCCACGGGTTGGTCGGTTTTCAACAGGAGTTTCGGCGAGCTGTTTCTTCACTCATTCTCGTTCTTGTTTGGTCGGGATCACGTCGTTTTCTTGCAAGCAGTCCTCGAATGAATCCCTGTCCATGCAGTGAAACAGGTCGACCCATCGCGTCTGTTCCCATAAATCTTTCAGCACCGAGTTGAAATTCTGAGTCAAAACCCGAACGCTGTGCTTTGTGTGTCGTCCCGCGAAGGCCAGGTACGACAGCGCGTCTCGTTTTTAAACCATTTCCTTGTTGGCGCTGCAGTCGTCCAGGACAAACTGCGTCAATTCTCCTTTCAGCTTGTCGTGGTAAGCGTGCAACCAGTCCTGCAGACGAATTCCAGGATCGATTTTGTGCACGTCCGGGTCCGTCATCACCCACGCTCTCTCCGTGTACGTCTTGTTCACCCGTAAAGTCGGGCAGAGAATGACGATATGGTCGACATGTCGTGATAGTAACCTTCCAGCATGTCTAGCACGAATGCTGTCTTGACGCACCTCATCTGACTGCATATGATGGCGCAGTGGGGATCGCGAGGTAAATTAATAAATGGCTTGCACGAATCTTCCATTGTCTATATTGAGTTGCGCGTCCATGATCACAATATAAATTTAACTTGACGGCCGGATTTTGAGCTTTTTTGGTGATTTGGATGGTGAACCCCTTGCTGCCGTTGTCGATGCGATGTCCCTGCCGTGTAGTCTGTCGTCGTCTGTGGATCGCATGTCGAGCCACAGCGCGTAATGCTTATCAAGGTACTTACCGAGCGTCAACCCAGGTGAAACCCAGGTCTTTGGCGACGTCGTTTACTTCCGGCGAGTGTCGCTTGACGGCCGGTAGTTTTTTTATCTCATCTCATAGCTGATAAGCTTGCATGCCTTGGCTGAACAGCTGGTTCGGCACACCTTCGACGGTCACTTCCACTTTCGTGATCTCGGGATTCCAAGTGAGTTCGCTGTTTCTTTGAAACGGCTCGTATTCCGCCACAGGAACGATCAAGATGCCTTTCATCAATCAAGCCGGCATGTTCAGGTTGATGTTCTACAGCACGCGATCGTTCAGGATGGACAGCTTTCCCGAGTACTGGTTGCGAAGCTGCCGGGCCAGTTCCGTGCTCGTGACCATGTCGGACTCAAGCAAGATGTTGTCGAAGACGTAGCTGGCTTCGGTGCCGTCCGGCGTGTAGATAACTTTGCCGTCATTGTTCGTCGAGCCGGTATGCAAAACCGTTGGTATATCGTCAGACGCTGAGGCGACGACTATTTCTCCTGTCGTTAAATTGTCGAGCTGGTCTTGCGTGACACCCAACTTTTGTTCGCTGGTCGCAATGACGATTTTCGTGTTGTAGCCAACGACTTTGTGGATCCTCAGTTGCATGTCCAACGTCACGCCGCACCCCGTCGTCGTCGCTCACCACACTGCGAAGTTGAATTGATTCTGCGAGAACTGCATCTGGTTGTTAAACCAAACGTGTACTGTTTTCACATTCGTGACCGAAAGCCTATACATTTTTAATATATCAATAAATCGAGCTCAAAAGTGGGAACCATCCTTGCATCCACCACAATACTTGGTTGCGTGAGATTGGTAGCACTTATATTATCACTTTTAGAATAAAACACTCTCAGTTTGTACATATTTGAATTGTTATATAGTATACAGATCTAATTTTTCAATATGTACGTGACGCTTCTGGGAATCACGAGCAGCGAGTCCATTCAACTGCTGCACGCCATCGATAACACGTCGGGTCAGCTCGAAGTCAGGACTGTTATTACAGCATTTGCATGCTGAACGACGAAATTTTCAAACCCATCGATAACGTTAAAGACCGGGGGAAAATCCATCAGGCGAGAACTCTCGGGCTGCCGTCGAACGACATACGACCGCAAAGCACCTCCGCGGGTTCGAGATATCCCAGCCTCATCGTCGATCACAAGGTGTTCGTTCATCTCGATCAGGTAAGCACGACTATCAAATCACACACCACGCTCGTAGTAGATGTCTATCTCGCAGGCGCTCGTGGGTCAGAACGAACACTTTTGACTGGGTTGACAATACGCTGGTTCGCTAGACACAATCACCAACTGTGTCGTATCTTCATAAGACCGGGATTGACACCCTTAGTAAGCCTTGATGGAGTGCGTGTTATAGAAAAAAAATTCGATTCATGTCTCGAATATTTACGTGTACGATAATCTAAACCTTATCAGCCTCAAATACATGGATCGGATATTAACGGAAAACCAATTAAATATTATTTTATAAAAAAATAAATAATATATACAGGATGGGACTGTACCCATTTGTGGATGAAGTAGCAAAAACACTGGAAACCATAGACGGGTTTCGTTTGCGATAGATATGCGAGATCAAACAACAACTAGAACGTGAACGCGATACGCGGTCGGCATTACAGAAAAAATATCACAGGGCTGTCAATTCCGTGGACGGTGTTGACAGCGCTATGGTTTCCGTCGACATGGGATTAGGCGTGGCAGGTGTCGGGTTATTATCCACCATCGTGGCCGCACCTGTGGTGCTAGGCATCGAAATAACAGCCGGAGTGGCAGGGTTGATGGGATTGACCCTTAAGTTCATATCTCGCAGACTACAACGTAAAGCATTGAAACACGGCGAAATTAGAATTCTATCCGAAGCGAAGTTAAACACGATAGACGATCATATTTCCACAGCGCTCACCAACTCTAAAATCTCTGAGGAAGAGTTTCGTTTGGTGCTATCAGAAATCGCAAAATATCACAGAATGAAACAAGAGATTCGAACCACGTCTCCTAAAAATGTCGTCATCAACGAAGACGAGAAAAAAAAATTAAAAAAGGGAAGCAACAGGCCCGGCAAGCCTTCATTACGAAAACCAAACAAATCATAGAAGGAGATTCACAATAAAAATTTTTCGCAGATATCAACATAACGTAGCCAGCCGGACAGCCAGCTCAGCGAGCTGTAGGTGAATAGCCAAGCCGAGAGACACACACACACACACTGCGACTGGCTCACAGCGCTCATTTGGTGATACCGAGACGGTAGCGAGGCGACCCGGGGGAACTGCCGAGAGATGCGTTTCATTCACCTTCAGACATCTGTAGCCTCGTTAGTCAGCCGGCCGTGCAGCATCATAGCCGAGCCGAGACACACACGCACACACACACTTATACTCGTCCGAGGCGCTCACTCAGAGCAACCCCCGAGACGGTAGCGAGGTGATGACTGCTGAGACCTGCGTTTCATTCACCTTCAGACAGCTCACACAAGTACGTCCCAACGAGATGGTAGCAAGGCAGCTTGGGGGAACTGCAGAGAGCTGCATTTCATTCGGCTGAAAACACCTCTCGTCTCGCTAATATATAACAAGTACGACAATACGTTGGATTGTTAGCCTTTCGCCAGACCGACCCCATGCTCACTAAAAAGTAAATATTTCCGAAACTATTTGAACGATTTTCGTGAAATTTTGCATGCATCTCGGCAGATGGTTACGCTATAGCATTGGGAACACTCTCGATGACTTCATTAGATTAATTAAGACTTAATTACGACAAAAAGTTGGACATTTTGCCTTTTCCCGACCGACCCCATGCTGACTTAAAAGTCAATATTTGAGAAACTATTCAACCGAAACTTTTTGCATGCACCTCAGTAGTATACACCATGGGGCTACGGGATTAGGGACTTCCCAAGTGCTCAATTTTTAAATTGAGCCCTTGCGAGGGACCTGGTCCCGTAGCCCCATGGTGTATACTACTAGACTACAGGACAACTTCTGTTTCATGGATATCACCATCTATGTTATCATCAGCAGGGCTGAGTCAGTATAATGACAGGGCACGGGGGTATGAAGACTACAGAACAACTTCTGTTTCATGGATGTCACCATCTATGTTATCATCATCAGGGCTGAGCCATATAATGACAGGGCAGGGGGGTATGAAGACTACAGGACAACTTCTGTTTCATGGATATCACCATCTATGTTATCATCATCAGGGCTGAGCCAGTATAATGACAGGGCACGGGGGTATGAAGACTACAGGACAACTTCAGTTTCTTGGATATCACCATCTATGTTATCATCATCAGGGCTGAGCCATATAATGACAGGGCATGGGGGTATGAAGACTACAGGACAACTTCTGCTTGATGGATATCACCATATATGTTATCATCATCAGGGCTGAGCCAGTATAATGACAGGGCACTGGGGTATGAAGACTACAGGACAACTTCTGCTTGATGGATATCACCATCTATGTTATCATCATCAGGGCTGAGCCAGTATGATGATGGGGCACGGGGTATGAAGACTACAGGACAACTTCAGTTTCATGGATATCACCATCTATGTTATCATCAGCAGGGCTGAGCCAGTATAATGACAGGGCACGGGGTATGAAGACTACAGAACAACTTCTGTTTCATGGATATCACCATCTATGTTATCATCAGCAGGGCTGAGCCAGTATAATGACAGGGCACGGGGGTATGAAGACTACAGGACAACTTCTGCTTGATGGATATCACCATCTATGTTATCATCATCAGGGCTGAGCCAGTATAATGACAGGGCGCGGGGGTATAGAAACTCCAGGACAACTTCAGTTTCATGACAACATATTGATACATCTGTGTTCTTGTTTCCAGACACCCTGTTCTTTGACACAGACCCTCCAAGGTAAGTACCTGGTGCTGTGTGACAAATGGTGTAGTGTATATGTTGACTGATGTATCTGTGATAGTGTCCCATACTCAACCTTCTGTTTATCTGTGTACAGGACTGAGGCCCAGAAACGAGCTCGGTACAAGGAGGTAGTGGATGGTAGTATAGACTACATTCCAAGTAAGTTCAGCAATAACCAGGTTAGTTGATTAAACAGGTGTAGAGGGGTGTATGTGCTACCAAGGGTTGGTCTGTTACTGAGTGTAGAGTGGTGTCTGTGCTACCAAGGGTTGGTCTGTTACTGAGTGTAGAGCTGTGTACTACCAAGGGTTGGTCTGTTACTGAGCATAGAGCGGTGTGCTACCAAGGGGTGGTCTGTTACTGAGCGTAGAGCGGTGTGCTACCAAGGGTTGTTCTGTTACCTAGTGTAGAGCGGCGTGCTACCAAGGGTTGGTCTGTTACTGAGCGTAGAGCGGTGTGCTACCAAGGGATGGTCTGTTACTGAGTGTAGAGCAGTGTGCTACCAATGGGTTGGTCTGTTACTGAGTGTAGAGCCGTGTGATACCAAGGGTTGGTCTGTTACTGAGTGCTGAGCGGTGTGATACCACGGTTGGTCTGTTACTGAGTGTAGAGCGGCGTGATACCAAGGGTTGGTCTGTTACTGAGTGTAGAGCGGCATGATACCAAGGGTTGGTCTGTTACTGAGTGCTGAGCGGTCTGCTACCAAGTATTGGTCTGTTACTGAGTGCTGAGCGGTGTGATACCAAGGGTTGGTCTGTTACTGAGTGCTGAGCGGTGTGATACCAAGGGTTGGTCTGTTAATGAGTATAGAGCGGTGAGCCACCAAGGGTTGTTCTGTTACTGAGTGTAGAGCGGTGTGCTACCACGGTTGGTCTGTTACTGAGTGTAGAGCAGCGTGATTACGGTTGGTCTGTTACTGAGCGTAGAGCAGTGTGCTACCAATGGTTGGTCTGTTACTGAGTGAAGAGCAGTGTGATACCAAGGGTTGGTCTGTTACTGAGTGTAGAGCAGTGTGCTACTAATGGGTGGTCTGTTACTAAGTGTAGAGCAGTGAGCTACCAAGGGGTGGTCTGTTACTGAGCGTAGAGCGGTGTGCTACCAATGGTTGGTCTGTTACTGAGTGAAGAGCAGTGTGCTACCAATGGTTGGTCTGTTACTGAGTGAAGAGCAGTGTGATACCAAGGGGTGGTCTGTTACTGAGCGTAGAGCAGTGTGCTACCAATGGTTGGTCTGTTACTGAGTGAAGAGCAGTGTGATACCAAGGGTTGGTCTGTTACTGAGTGTAGAGCGGTGTGCTACCAAGGGTTGGTCTGTTACTGAGTGTAGAGCGGTGTGCTACCAAGTATTGGTCTGTTACTGAGTGTAGAGCGGTGTGCTACCAAGGGTTGGTCTGTTACTGAGTGTAGAGCGGTGTGATACCAAGGGTTGGTCTGTTACTGAGTGTAGAGCAGTGTAGTACCAATGGGTTGGTCTGTTACTGAGTGTAGAGCGGCGTGATACCAAGGGTTGGTCTGTTACTGAGTGTAGAGCGGTGTGCTACCAAGGGTTGTTCTGTTACTGAGTGTAGAGTGGTGTGCTACCAATGGGTTGGTCTGTTACTGAGTGTAGAGCAGTGTGCTACCAAGGGTTGGTCTGTTACTGAGTGCTGAGCGGTGTGCTACCAAGTATTGGTCTGTTACTGAGTGTAGAGAGGTGTGCTACCAAGGGTTGGTCTGTTACTGAGTGTAGAGCGGTGTGATACCAAGGGTTGGTCTGTTACTGAGTGTAGAGCGGTGAAGTACCAATGTGTTATTGGTGTCAGAAATTTGTTAAGGTGTTTGTTCTGCGAAGATAGAGGTAATTCTAGTATCCTGGGTCACTGTGTGTAGTAATTATGGTGTTGTTTCTTCCATATACTTGCAGAAGCATTTGCTGCAGTAGTTGGGTCCAAGAGTCATGTAGAAGGAACCAAGTTTTTACTGGAGTGTCTGCAGCAGCCCAAGCTTAACAAGCAGGTGAGAACACATTGATGGGAGCAGTGAAATCCACACAGTGGCAGTTTCGGCCAGGTTGTATCGTCAGTCTGTCTGCTGGTTTAAAGAACACTTTTCTAACACTTTTCATCCATGTAGATTATCCAATAATGTAAAAGGTACATTTATGTGACCAGTTAGACAGTTAGTCTCAGACTAGAGACTGCTATGGATGTTTTCTCATTTTATGTTTAACTTTTTACTGTTTATTTCAGAATATTTACTGTAGATTATTATTTTTCAGCTGAGTTTTGTGTTTTTGGACATCGTAGTACAAGAACTATTTCCTGAACTCCGGGAGAACACACCCAGCCCTACTTGAGACATGTCCTGCATCCTCCTCAACCTCTTCTTGTCTGTGTCCTGCAGGATGCAGTCACTGACATTATCTGATGCTGTTTGGCTGGAGCAGCCTCACTGGAAATACTCACTTTGTGACAGACAGTGTTCACCTTTGTGGACACACAGCCAATGCAAGTTAGTATAGCTGTGACATGACTTCCAGGACCAGACTGTGTGTGTACAAGCTGGCGACACTGGGAAATACTGGGGTGTCAATGCCTCGCAGTTGTTGATTATTTTACTGTATTGCACAAATTTAAGTATTCTTACGTTAAACTCACGGGAAAGTTATCTCAAAACGTTAATAAATGTTTGTAGAAACATTTTGATGAAAGTCCCCAGTGTGTCTACAGCCCTTTATTCACCAGCATATATATGATATATAGTACTGGCAGGGCCATCATACCCCAGAAGGATTATACTGGCAGTGCCATCATTCACGAGTAAGGATTGTACTGGCAGTGCCACCATTCACCAGCAAGGATAGTACTGGCAGTGCCATCATTCACCAGCAGAGATATATAGTACTGGCAGTGCCATCATTCACCTGCAGCGATATATAGTACTGACAGTGCCGTCATTCACCAGTAAGGATAGAACTAGCAGTGCCATCACCCACCAGCAAGGATAGTACTGGCAATGCCATCATTCACCAGTAAGGATAGTACTGACAGTGCCATCATTCACCAGTAAGGATAGTACTGGCAATGCTATCATTCACCAGTAAGGATAGTATTAGCAGTGCCATCACCCACTGCGAAGGATAGTACTGACAGTGCCGTCATTCACCAATAAGGATAGTACTGGCAGTGCTATCATTCACCAGTAAGGATAGTACTGACAGTGCCGTCATTCACCAGTAAGGATAGTACTGGCAATGCCATCATTCACCAGTAAGGATAGTATTAGCAGTGCCATCACCCACTGGGAAGGATAGTACTGGCAGTGCCATCATTCACCAGTAAGGATTGTACTGGCAGTGCCATTATTCACCAGTAAGGATTGTACTGGCAGTGCCATTATTCATCAGTAAGGATAGTATTAGCAGTGCCATCACCCACTGGGAAGGATAGTACTGGCAATGCCATCATTCACCAGTAAGGATAGTACTGGCAATGCTATCATTCACCAGTAAGGATAGTATTAGCAGTGCCATCACCCACTGGGAAGGATAGTACTGACAGTGCCGTCATTCACCAATAAGGATAGTACTGGCAATGCCATCATTCACCAGTAAGGATAGTACTGACAGTGCTGTCATTCACCAGTAAGGATAGTACTGGCAATGCCATCATTAACCAGTAAGGATAGTATTAGCAGTGCCATCACCCACCGGCAAGGGTAGTACTGGCAGTGCCATCATTCACCAGTAAGGATTGTACTGACATTGCCATCATTCACCAGTAAGGATAGTACTGGCAGTGCCATCACCCACCAGCAAGGATAGTACTGGCAATGCCATCATTCACCAGTAAGGATAGTACTGACAGTGCCATCATTCACCAGTAAGGATAGTACTGGCAATGCTATCATTCACCAGTAAGGATAGTATTAGCAGTGCCATCACCCACTGCGAAGGATAGTACTGACAGTGCCGTCATTCACCAATAAGGATAGTACTGGCAATGCCATCATTCACCAGTAAGGATGGTACTGACAGTGCCGTCATTCACCAGTAAGGATAGTACTGGCAATGCCATCATTCACCAGTAAGGATAGTACTGACAGTGCCGTCATTCACCAGTAAGGATAGTACTGGCAGTGCCATCATTCACCAGCAGAGATATATAGTACTGGCAGTGCCATCATTCACCTGCAGCGATATATAGTACTGACAGTGCCATCATTCACCAGTAAGGATAGTACTAGCAGTGCCATCATTCACCAGTAAGGATAGTACTAGCAGTGCCATCACCCACCGGCAAGGATAGTACTGGCAGTGCCATCATTCACCAGTAAGGATAGTACTGACAGTTCCATCATTCACCAGTAAGGATAGTACTAGCAGTGCCATCACCCACCAGCAAGGATAGTACTGGCAATGCCATCATTCACCAGTAAGGATAGTACTGACAGTGCCATCATTCACCAGTAAGGATAGTACTGGCAATGCTATCATTCACCAGTAAGGATAGTATTAGCAGTGCCATCACCCACTGTGAAGGATAGTACTGACAGTGCCGTCATTCACCAATAAGGATAGTACTGGCAATGCTATCATTCACCAGTAAGGATAGTACTGACAGTGCCATCATTCACCAGTAAGGATAGTACTGGCAGTGCCATCATTCACCAGTAAGGATAGTATTAGCAGTGCCATCACCCACTGGGAAGGATAGTACTGGCAGTGCCATCATTCACCAGTAAGGATTGTACTGGCAGTGCCATTATTCACCAGTAAGGATTGTACTGGCAGTGCCATTATTCAACAGTAAGGATAGTATTAGCAGTGCCATCACCCACTGGGAAGGATAGTACTGGCAGTGCCATCATTCACCAGTAAGGATTGTACTGGCAGTGCCATCATTCACCAGTAAGGATTGTACTGGCAGTGCCATTATTCATCAGTAAGGATAGTATTAGCCGTGCCATCACCCTCTGGGAAGGATAGTACTGGCAATGCCATCATTCACCACTAAGGATTGTACTGGCAGTGCCATCATTCATCAGCAAGGATAGTACTGGCATTGCCATCATTCACCAGTAAGGATAGTACTGGCAGTGCCATCATTCATCAGCAAGGATTGTACTGGCAGTGCCATCATTCACCAGTAAGGATAGTACTGGCAGTGCCATCATTCATCAGCAAGGATAGTACTGGCAGTGCCATCATTCACCAGTAAGGATAGTACTGGCAGTGCCATTATTCATCAGCAAGGATAGTACTGTCAATGCCGTCATTCATCCCTTGCATTCATCTCTAACTCATCATTATTGCTTCAAAAAACATGTATTTACATTCCACACATCATACGATCAGTAGAATACTAAGGCAGCAGCTGGGGCAACCAGCATGCTGTGTTATATAAGTTGACTGTGACTAACTTTAGTATAGTATCTGATGCAATGTCATGCCATACCGTCATTTCTAACTGTCTGAAGGAGAAATTGAAGGATGTTTTCACAAATATGGAAGTGTAGATATTGTTTCTGAGTCCTGTCACCAAGTTTATCAGGCATGTGAAGTAGAGCCTGACCCTTAAAGGTTATGATACTTGTTATGGTAAGAGCATGATAACTTTGAAACAAATCTGACATGAAGGACTGACGATTTTACATTGACAAAGACTCTTAACATGTTTGAAAGCTTGCTTAAAGGGATAATATATCAACATTTCTGTGTGTTTTTAAAATGTGCATGGAATGTACTGTCAAATATATTTAAGAACGTGAAAAGCTGTTGCAGATCTATGGAGCCCTCCTGTGTACAGTAGGGCTGAGTATTGGCAAATAAATTGTATTGCGCTATATTGCGATTCATGTGCCTCTATTGCGATACTTAGTGTGATATACTGGGAACTTAAGCGTTTGACAGTGAGTGACACTAATTGTGTATGTCAGTCCTATTTTCTATGTTATAAGTCCCTAAACATAAATGTTATGGTTCTTATAACAACATAAATAATGCAGTAATTAAACCTTTTTCAATCAACTGATTGTTTCTACATCAGAATCCAATCAATATGATTCAACTCCAGGACTATGCATATCATCATATCACATTTCATTTTAGCGTGTAAATACACCACTTATATTTGCATTGATATTGTATCTAGCAAATCTGGAGATGATGACATTTGCTGTTTTTGTACAAGCAGAATTAGTGAATGGTGTGCAATTTAGTATGTGATGTTCCCTTGACAAGTGGACATGGTATATGATGTACCCTTGACAAGTGGACACGGTATTTGATGTAGCCTTGACAAGTGGAAACGGTATTTGATGTAGCCTTGACAAGTAGACATGGTATGTGATGTACCCTTGACAAGTGGACACGGTATGTGATGTAGCCTTGACAAGTGGACACGGTATGTGATGTACCCTTGACAAGTAGACACGGTATTTGATGTAGCCTTGACAAGTGGAAACAGTATTTGATGTAGCCTTGACAAGTGGACATGGTATGTGATGTACCCTTGACAAGTAGACATGGTATGTGATGTACCCTTGACAAGTGGACACGGTATTTGATGTAGCCTTGACAAGTGGACATGGTATGTGATGTACCCTTGACAAGTAGACACGGTATTTGATGTAGCCTTGACAAGTGGAAACGGTATTTGATGTAGCCTTGACAAGTGGACATGGTATGTGATGTACCCTTGACAAGTAGACACGGTATTTGATGTACCCTTGACAAGTGGACACGGTATGTGATGTACCCTTGACAAGTAGACATGGTATGTGATGTACCCTTGACAAATGGACACGGTATGTGATGTACCCTTGACAAGTGGACATGGTATGTGATTTCGCCTTGACAAGTGGAAACGGTATTTGATGTAGCCTTGACAAGTGGACATGGTATGTGATGTACCCTTGACAAGTAGACACGGTATTTGATGTACCCTTGACAAGTGGACACGGTATGTGATGTACCCTTGACAAGTAGACATGGTATGTGATGTACCCTTGACAAATGGACACGGTATGTGATGTACCCTTGACAAGTGGACATGGTATGTGATTTCGCCTTGACAAGTGGACATGGTATTTGATGTAGCCTTGACAAGTGGACATGGTATGTGATGTACCCTTGACAAGTGGACACGGTATGTGATGTACCCTTGACAAGTAGACACGGTATGTGATGTACCCTTGACAAGTGGACACGGTATGTGATGTATTTAGGACTTTGGAACTAGGTAAGATAGTCCATAGTCTGACTAAGGTACACAATGAGTGCCAGGTTTGGTCTACTGAAGAAACAAAGCTTTCAGGGTCGAACACGAACTGAGAGTACGAGTTCGTTCACCAATGCTTGCTATGTTTAATAATGCATTCTCAGTTTTGAAGTGAAGCAATACAAACTATTATCACTTTATTATTACACCTCTATTCAAGTCTGTAGAGTCAAATTGATCTTGTTTTTATTTTATGATGCTTACATGACCATTGGTTGTACATTGTGAGACAGTAGTACCTGTAAGCTGTCCATACCCCAGCTAAAGTGTTGTGTTGCTGCAGCCTTGTTTTTTTCCAGATGCTTGGCTATATATTTATTGTTATTATCAATGCACTTTTGGTGCATAGCTGTAAATTTCTCTCTGTTTTGATGTTATGTTTGGAAGTGGGGTACCCAAATATGCATATCATGTAAGTATTGTGGAAATAAAGTATCTGAAAAAATGAATTGTTGTTTCCCAGACTCCAAGGTTAAGAACCTCATCCATAACATGTGACTAGGACCATTCCCTGTTTTATTATGAATCAATAACATAATTTATCGATTCAAGTTTCATGCATACAATACCTCTATTACATCACTGCAGGAGACTTGTACTGTCAGACAAACTGTGAGACTAGACACATACATAATGGCAGGGCAGTGAGACTGGACACAGATATAATGGCAGGTGAGTGAGACTGGACACAGATATAATGGCGGGTGAGTGAGTGAATTGAGTGAGTTTAGTTTTATGCCGCACTCAGCAATATTACAGCTATATCGCGTAATCCCGTTAGTCGCCTCTTACAACAAGCATAGTCGCCTTTTGTAGCAAGCATGGGTTGCTGAAGACCTATTCTACCCCGGGTCTGCGGGTGAGTGAGGCTGGCCACAGATATAATGGCAGGTGAGTGAGACTGGACACAGATATAATGGCAGGTGAGTGAGACTGGCCACAGATATAATGGCAGGTGAGTGAGACTGGACACAGATATAATGGCAGGCGAATTAGACTGGACACAGATATA